TCAATTTCAGGCAAAAATGTGCAAATTACGTGTTTTTTGCCAATTTTTTGAAGGTTTTTTGCCTGTAAAATCTTAAGAAATAATTTAAACAATATGAAATTTTCATTAATATGTAGATAATTATAATTCTCAAAATCCTACACTACATTTTATTAAATTTTTTAATGTCAAACAGTAAATAATCACAATTTTCGTTGTTAAAAAACGATAAATTCAAATTTTTCCATTTTTTGCCATAAAATTTTTCAATTTTTCTCAAGGTGTGAACATATGCAATTCAATTAAAATTAATCTCCCGATAAAAGATAGTGACACGAAATAAATGAAACGATTATTTATTTGTGTTAATTATAATCTAGATTTATCTTCACACCCACTCATTTGCGCGCTGATGGCGTGCATGCGGTTTTGTTGTTAGAAATAAATTGGATTAATATTTTCATCATCCGAGTGGTAATTGTGCGTCATTAATAATCCTGATTGGATTTTCAACAAGCAGAAAAAGCACGTGCAATCACTGTTTAAATAACTGCACGTCCTGCACGTACTCAGATGGACGCAAACAGAGTGCTTAGAGCTTATATTGCGAGCGTTTAAGGATATCGAGCGCAAACCGCAAACATATTCATGCCACGACAATAATTATAATTCAATCAAGTTGTAAATTATTTATATTGCAGAGAATGTAATAAAAATAAAATACAGCGGAATAAAAGTCGTTTTTAATTTAATTTCGTGCTAAAAAGGCAAAATTCGTGTTTTTGCGAAAAAAAAAATCGTGTTTTTCAGCTGTAAATTGTTGATAAAACATGGAATCATCATGAAATTGATGTCAATTTATAGATAATTGAAATATAGACGGTTCTAGGTTAAATAATATCAAAAATGTTAATGATAAATATGAACAAAATCTTAATTTTTGTGGTAAAAATCGGTCAAAAATTGAAATTTTCATATTTTGCGTCATATTAACACAAATCTTTAAATTTTACTGTGTCAAATCCAAAATCAACATTAAATGCACACAATATTTCTGTATGTTATCAAACAAAACTCAAATTTAAACTTTATACAAATAAAACCACAAAATTCGTGTTTTTACACAATTTTGTTTGGGTTTTCAGTAATCAATCATTGATAAAACATGTAAACGTCATAAAATTAGTATTAACAGATAGATAATTGAAATATTTATCGTTCTATATCAAATTATATAAACAATTTTAATGGTAAATAAGAAAAAATCACGAATTTCATTGCAAAAATCGGCCAAAAACTGAATTTTTCACATTTTCACCTCATTTTATCTCAAATATCTCCAATTTACTCTGTCAAATTACACATAAACATAAACTGCATAAAATATTTCTGTTTGTTATTAAACGAAACTCCAACCTAAACTTTGACCTGCGTTTCTAAATAATTCTACCAGCTTGATATGCCAAATTTACATATTCTCGTATTTATACACATACCCAAATCCAATGCACATCTACTCATAAGAAAGTGTAAAGTACACATCTCACAAAACCTAAAAATTACAACTAATAACAAACGTAACATTTAAACTCCAACCAAAAACCACGTTTTTGTTTAAACTTTAAAAACCACACATGAGCGCCAAGCCTTAAAATTTAAATATTTCACGTTTTTCAACGCAAACCTGCTGTCGAAACATACCTCACGTTATCGAAAAGTATGCCCTTGAAAAATAGGAATACATAATCAGAAATAATGACAATGAAAACGTCCAGAAACCACCGGCGTCTTATCAATTCAATACAGAACACCACAGCGCACTCAATCCGCAATCCAACTCTCACACTTTTACTTTTTCAAATAAGCACGTACTAAATTCGTCAACTTTGCGTGTTAATAAAGTATTACCTTGCATTGGTGACGTCCGTACCTTGCACAGCCATACGAGAAACACACTGCTAAATATTATGTTTCACAGATAATCGTATAAAATACAAGTGTGTCTTCTTACATTCCACGCAAAACGCAAGTATTTTATCTTATCTTATCGCGAGAAATTTCTGTTGTGATTGATAGCGTAAAAAAATATTTATCCAAGTGTCATCTTTGGAGAGTTTAATTTTTTAATTAATTTTTATAGGTTAAATCACTGAAAAAAGTAGACAAGCGCGGAGGAGAAAAAAAAAACGGTAATTCCGCGCTGATGGTCATGCGCAACTTTTTCATGCATATACAACACCATCGGCCATCATAATTTAATGACCCAATTCGTGCCAGTATCAAATTACCACATATACTCGTACACAAGCGTAGAAACAGATATACCGATAGATGTTACACATCTAGAGCTTCGCAGACACGTAATGAAATTACGATGCGTTCTTATTAAGAGTTATTAAACTATTAATTATCTATACCAAGAAATACATGAAGAAAAAATACAGTTAAAGTAATTTTTATGCAAAAAAAAAATAGAAATTTCGTACTAAAAAACGCAAAATTCTTGTTTTTCGCCAATTTTTTTTGTGTTTTTTAGCTCTCATTTGTTGATAAAACATCAAAACGTCTTGAAATTTGTGATAAAATGAAGATAATTGATGTATTGACAGATCTAGACTAAATTATATCAAAATTTTTGAGAGTAAATAGGAAAAAATCGTAATTTTCTGTGCAAAAATCGGTCAAAAATTGAAAATTTCTCGTTCTCGCCTCATTTTAACGCAAATATTTTCATTTTACTCTACAATTTTACATAGAAATCAACAAAAAACTAGCAAATTATGTAAAATTTTACTCATTTCTTTTAAAAATTGTTGTAATATTAATATTATTACGAAAAAACCGCTTCTAAGGTCTAAAAAGTCAAAAAAATTACTTCCTACTTACTCCTGTGGTGAAAAATAATCCAGAAATAGAATCCTGTGAGTTAGTTGAACATGCGCAGTGTAAAAATGTCTCCCTTGTTGCAATTTTAAGGTTAAATAAGTTAGATTAGTGCAGTTTTCTTAAAAAACTTTAAAAATTTAAAAACAAACATCAGTATTGTCCATTTTCTGTATGTCTAATGTGTCTGACAGTATAATAACTTACCGGAAGTCAAATTAACATTTCGTACGCGATGGTTAGTAGGTGAGTTTGTGAGTTATCCAAGTGTGTATCCTGTGTGTCTGCCTAAACATAGGTACCAATACCTCACCAGTTGCACACGCGTTGCACGTGTATGCTCATTATACAAAGAATGGAACCGTCAAATGAACAAAAATACTCAAATACACTGCGATTCTAATACATAGCGACAGGTGCCTTTGCGTACATTACTAAGCAGGAAAAAAAACGAAATAAAAACGTGAGTTTCAAGCATAATCATCAACAATTCATGCTGTATAGTGCACACCGCTGTAAATACAAGTAAATACCACTTGGAAGCACGCGTATTATACGTCTGTGTCTGCTTTGCAAACGTCAACGATGGGCGCTTTCAACTCAACTGTGTTTAATAACTCCGTAACAGTACAAATAACACTTTTGCGAGACAGCAGCAGATGCGTTTCAAGTAAATTAAGCAATAAATATGAGAAAAACACTCGGTATTGAAGTGAATTAATTTTATATCAAGTGTAGTCTGTGAAATTTAAGCAAATTTCGTGTTTTTTGAGAGAAATTTTGCGTTTTTGGGTTGGAAAAAGGCATCTAACTACAAATAAATAAATAAACTATCCCCTAACATCAATATTTATTAAAATTTCTAAGGTACAGTTTAAAAAAAACAGAAATTTAGGCAAATTTTGCTAATTTTAAGCAAAATATCAATGATTTCGATCAATTTTTTGTGTTTTTGAGCCACAGAAACGCCAAATATCATCAAAATTTTAAAAAGCATGACTTAAACAATAAACTAATAAAATATCTATCATTCAACACTAAATTTTAGTAAAATTTCCAACTAAAAATAAAAAAAAAGCTTTTTTTTTTTCGATAATTTCTACAATTTTAGTGATTTTGGCGCGTTTTTATCGCTATTTTTGGGCTACAACCTCCAAAAAACTTACAAATTTTATAAAACATGCCTTAAAGTATAAACAAATAAAATACCTACCAATCAACACTAAACTTTCTTTAAATTTCCATCTAAAAATCGAAATAAATTGCTATTTTCCATAATTTCTCCTATTTTTCTACATTTTTAGTTCAAATTTCTGCAATAAAACACAACCAATCATCGTAAACTAATCAAACTAACACTAAAATCAACCTAAACAAATTATCTGCAATACTAAAACAAAAACCGCCCATACTCTCCAGCAAAACCTATAAAACATTACAATTTTTATATTTTTTCATATCTTACGCCGCAAAACTGTGTGTGATGAGTGTTTCAGCCACATACAACAATCCTACCTGCATGTTTATGATTACACTTAATCTAAACACCCGTATACTCTTCTTTTCGCTGTCGCTGTCATTAAATAACACTTCATAGAGTCGAAAATCAATAAAAACAAAACATACGCACATATCTCAACAAACAGAGGTCAAAAAACAGTCGACTATTCTCTACAAAGGTGATAAACCGCTGAATACAATTCAAATAAAACGTCTCACATTACGTATGACCTCAATGTATTCGTAATTATCAAGAATAATGAATTTAATTAATTCCTAGACAAACCGATTGAAATTTTCCATCAAACACGTAAAAATTTTAATTATTTCATGATAAACCAAACAAATTTGTCTTTCGTTAACTCAAAACAACCATTAAACAAACAATAAAGATAACAAACAATAAACAATCTAAGCTGTTGTTTATTTATCGCTAAACTAATGAAAATGAAGGAATTAAACACTTATTTTTCGTGTTATTCACGTAATATTAATCAATAATGATTAACACTCTGTCACATGATCAATACTAACGCAAAAACATGCAAATATAACAATAATCTCCGCCATTTTTGAACAAACAAAACAATTTTGTTATTATTATGATAAAAAGTTGAAATTTTTCATATGCCACTCACCGTATACATAAAAGGGGCACCGGGAATATAATAGCCACGACTGCTCATTGTCGAATTGTAATTTTATCAATCTCCTTGTGCACTGAGCGTACAAATACACGAATCACACCAGCGTTTGTCTCGCCTCGCCACATTTCTCACTTACGCCCAGCAGTCGTAACAAGGTCAGCTGATTTGACACGGGCGAGGGTGTTCACACACAGCACGATTAGGGATTAATCCTTTGGCACTACCGGTGAGGTGTTAACGCACAGAGGTGATAGGTCCGGGTGTGATTGTGCAAGTTTGCATTCGCTGAGGTCGAGCGACGACTGCGAACGACATGACTCACGCGAGTCGTGCGCGGCCAACTGCTAGAATGTTTCTGGTTGGTTTTGACATCCTGCGAGGTGTGCAGGAAAAAGCGCCGCGTGCGGCGCACAAGAGAAATATAATAGTAGTGTTAATCACGTACGCTAGATGGCGGTGCATGTACTATTAGTTTATAATTTGTATTTTATTGTTTAAAATATTAAGAAATACATTGAAAATGTTAAGTAGTAGTAAATATTAATTCACGGCCAAGTAAATAAATATTTTTTTACTTTTTTTGGATATTTTTTAATGAATAAGAAATATTTTTTGATTTTTTACCCGCAGGAAAAGCGCCCTCAGCGGTGGTTGAAACAAACACAGTTTTAGTTTATATTATTGACGCAAGATGGCGCCAGATTTAAATTTTGACAGTTTATTGTTTAAACAATTAATAAAAACGTTAAAAATGTTATATAATGATGAAAAATTACTTCTTTTGTGTATATTTAAGTTTAATCAGTTAATTTACTTTAGAATAAATATTAATTTAACGTTTCGTTTGCTTTCGCATACGGTTTCTTTAATTTTAGTTTTAACAATAATTACACCGAGTTTTAATTGTTTCTAATTACTATTGTTGGCTACTAATCAAAACCCATTAAAACTGTCAATGTAAAATTAAAACTTCACTCTATTGACGTAAAATTCTAAATATTTCAATTTTTGTTGTAAAAATGGGCGAAATTCGCGAAATTTGCGGCGTTAGCACCGAAAACAATGAACTTTTAATACAACTCTTACTGAATTCGGACGGAGGATTAAACCTCCAAGATCAGGAAATACCATCAAATTATCTCCTCGGTGATGGCATCCGCATGTACCGCGAGTGGAAAAAAGTAAAACTGCATCGTGAACATTTGACAAATTGCATATTTGTCTACGACAAGAAACTAATCCCCGCACGAATGACAAGTGTGAAACGCACACCGCGTTCCCCCGGCGAAAATCCATTCGCTTGTTGTTTCAAAACAAAAACAAACGAAGAATAACAATCACTTGTCACCTTTTCCAACACAAAACAAGTGACATTGAAAAAATATTCCAAATCCCAGTTGTGTGTGAATATTTGCCTTGTATCATAATTTTCGGTGAGTGTATAATTACATTGTCGTCCATTTTGTCCTCATGCATAAACATGCACGTGCGCGCATGCGCAGCTTTCGATAGATCTGAATATGCTTGACACAATCAACAAAAGCGTACAGACACTTGTAACGGTGAGCCCACATTTGCTAAAGCCTTCGGATGCCCCTGAAAAGGTGCATGTGCGTGCCTGTATTGTGATCCAAACCGAAGCACAACTAGATTACAACGAAACCTTCGAAAAAGTCGAAGAAGCATTGAAATACACGCCATATTCCTATATTCTAAGAGACGCCATTAAAGTCGAGGATCTCCCAAAGAAATTTGTGCTAAAATTTGATGATAAGATCACCGAAGAGGATATTGAGAATTTCGACGAGTATTCCACCTTTGACCCCGCGGATCTTGCTCAGATCCTGTCGGGATCCGTTTGTGGGAAGAGTAATTTAAAGCAGGTTTCTGAAATGGCTGATGAACAACAGAAATTGGTTGAGGTGGGATGTCAGACTGATCTGATGGTGAGACCCATGTTCCTGGAGCTGGATGATGTCGCCCAGGTCATGTGTAATCTTCAGGTACAGACTTCAAGGACATTCACACCTAATGCCACCATGGATCAAGTTGATAAAGACCTACATTTGTTTTATCATCATAAAGGTTCTTCAGAGGCACCCACAGCTAAGAAAACCTCACCTGTTGAAACCCATGAAGGTACCTTCAATTCCTAACTTAATAAAATTCCTGTTAACCTAATTTTTAATGGTTTTTAAAGGTAAATCTGAATCTAGGACCAGATTAGAAGAATACATCAGAACCCACCCTATTACAAACCTAACCTCTGAAGATATCAGAAAGATCTGTGCAAATTGTTGCAGTGAAGATGAGGTCCTAGAAAAATCAAGTCCTGGTATGATGAAGTTGGTGATATCTTGGAAGGAGAAGACTTTTGGGAGAAGAGAATATTGATCCTATCACAGGTGTGAATCTGGATACAATCGAAGCTGAAATCATAGCCAATGCTGATATGACAGCTGAAACCCTACAGACCCAAGCAGATCGGATGGATAAACGGTATAGTTATCCAACCCAGGATATAGAAATCCAATGCAAGGAGTTTGCTGATCATAAGGAACCTGGGGTTTGTAGAGGTGACGACAGGAAAAGAAACAAAGGGTGTACCTGTGATTGTCAATTATATTCCAAAGATAAAAAGGATATGAAAGGTTATGATTTTGGTATTTGTGCAAAAAAGATGGCGGAGCTGTGTAAGTTGGTTCTCGGAGTGAGTTTGGGCGAAGCAAACTCCTCACCTGAATTGATTGGTCAAACATCTTCAGATCTACCATTAAAGGCGCGTGCGTGCACGAATCGTAAATGTAATTGCCTCTATTCCAAAGGTTGCCGGCATTGCGAGAAAGCGTTAACCATGGAGAAGAAACTGGCGATAGATGACCCTGCCAGATTGAAGTCCTGCAAAAAGTTCACTGCTTCACAGAATATCGAGTTCCTCACTGACGTAGATGGAGAATACGCTGATGCTTATCTGGAGCAATTGGAACAGGATTGTGCTTTCACCCAGACTGATTCGGGAGATGATTATTTCGGGACTCCTGATGCCCCTTATATCCCACCTCCTCCTTGTACATGTTTGACTAATGTGGAGATGCCCTGGGATATGATTACCATACCACCAACTCCAAAAGTATTATTTTGATATCCCAAAAACTTTTTTTGATTATTTCCTTTCTAGAAACGTCCCATCCCACCTGAAGAAGAAGAAATCATGAAATCCCTTCCTGAAGAGGTTAAAGCTCAGTTGAAGGAGTTGACAGTTGGGGCCATCACCCAAGAACAACTTTTAGCCCTAACTAAAGAGTTCCTAGATGATAAAATGGGTAATTCCAATGATATTGAAGAAATCCAGAAGCAGATCCTAGTAGAAAAGGCAAAGATTGATGAGGAGATTGCAGCGGCAGCGGGTGAAGATAAAGATGATGAAGAACCCCAAGAAGAAACGTATAAACCATGTAGACCAAGATCTCCTTTGAAATCATTTCAGGTCTTTGATCCGGAATGTGAGGTGTATAATGAACCATACCTGGATAGAATGATGAGGTACTTCTGTGAAGAAGAAATGGAAGGTATAGGTGAGTGTACATCACGTGTGGAGATGCCCTGGCATGAAATTGAATTGGCCAAGACTATAATCATCAGAAAAGGTAAGCATCCCTGTGAACGCAGGGCGAAACCATGTTTTGACAAGGATCCCAACCGGAAGTGTGGTCCTGAATACCGACGCAAGAAGGCTTTGTATGGTCCCACATCTAGTAACCCTAATATCAACACAAAGGGAATACCAGGTGCACCTGGAGATGATTGTATCTGTCATGTTTGTGGGAGTAGTTCCCAACCGATGATTCCCACGAAAAAAGGTGAAGATGCTTCTGTTACGTGTCTCTGTAAACCTAGGGAACCTTCAGAACCATCTGAAGTTGTGATTTCTTGCTTGAAAGGTAAAAAGAAACAAAAGAAGAAACCTTCTACCAGTATGCCCATGATACCCAAGAAGACTTTGAGTTGTGGGTGTCTGGTTAGTACAGAAACCCTTCCTTCAAGCAAACAATCCAAACCAGGGGTACAATTAGGAGGTAAGACATCTCCCCAATCAAGAACAGAACGTATTGCAGCATTGTTGGATTCTTGTAAGAAAGAAATGGAACCTATCAAGGATGGTATCAACCAACTTAGAGCTAGAATCAGGGAGTTGAATATTCCTGATCTTAAGGCATACCAGGAACCTCCCCAACTACTGGGTGGTTCACCTGGGACCTCAGGAGGGTTAAATTTCATGCCTCCGATGTATTACCCACCTCCCATGATGTGTTATCCTTATCCCCCGATACCACCATGTATGTACCCACCTCCTGGTCCTACCAATTCAGCAAATGCTCAGGTTACAAGACTACCTCCAAGTATGAACATCCCTAGTTCTTCCAAGAAGTGTAAATGTATGTCTAAACACCATCAGAGGGTTCCTGCAAGTTACCCTTCTTCATCAGAGAATACCACAACAGATTATGAAGAAGAACGACGTAGACACAAGAAAAAAGGTCACAATCACGCTAAAAGAAGCAGGAGTAGACTTATATGCAGTTGTAGACCACAGGAATCAAAAACTGTTTGGTGTCCTAGTATTCAGAGTTGTAAAAAGGGCAAAGAAAGGGTACCATCTGAAGAACAAGCCCAGAGTAGGTCTTCTTTGTGTCTATGCCTCACAGGGAGTTCCACTAGTAAAGGAACAACCACAACGAAGAAATCTTGTAGGCATTCAAGGATTCCCCGGTTGGTTTCACAGACTTCTTCAAAAAAATCTGGATTAATATGTCCTGCCCCTTCATTGGCCACCCAGAAAACCGCTTTCATCTCCTGCACTTCCCACTTGTCAGATAAAAGTGAAAAAAGTTGCAAATCCTACAAATCCACCAACAATTCTCTCTGTGAAGATTGTAGTGTTATGATGGTTGAGAGTTGCGCAACCCAAAGTGCACGATGCAGCTACCCGCGTAACAAATCATCCATTTTAAAACCGCAGTCAAAACCTGACCTGGCTACAGCAGCCACATCGTGTAAAATACGATTTAATGACAAAGTCAAACATACAAATACAAAATGTCCCGGATATAACCCCAAAATGGCCGAGGCGTGTGTTGAGGTTAAACGTGGTCGACCCGTCGAAGATAGCAGTACTGAATCTGTGTGCACACCGTGCAAGTCTCGCAATGCTTGAAAATTTAAGTCTGAGTTGAAATTATACTGTTAAAAATAAATTAATTGACTATTAATTAGTGTACGTCTGGTGGTAATTAAGCTAGTTGGTGTGCAATCAATAAAGCAGCGCATGTTTCCGGTCGGCGGAGAAGTGCATCCAAACGTGCATTTCCTGGTTCGTGAAAAATTAGATCCGTTGCTCTCGCCACTCATACGTTACGTCACGTCACGAGATCAGCGGCCATTTTGATTGCCAAGTGCAGAAATATTTCAAAAGCGTATAACTTTGGTAATAATTATCGTAGAGATGTGAAATAAAGTTTAAATTAAAGATAATTTACTAGGAAATAATCATGCCAAGTTAGAATAATGTACGATTAATACTTTTTGTGTAATTTGATAAAAAGTATCAATTTTAATTAAAATTACATGAAAAATGTAAGAAAAACGCTTATAACTTTTAAACTAAATGAGATAATTAACTAATTCTTGTTGCAAATGATAGATATTATTGTAAACTATAATATAGGTCACTTTCAATCATTTAAACTTTGGCACTCCTTGTTAAATTAACAAAAAACACAAAAAACATTCAACTATTGACATTTTAATGATGTTTCAACAGAAAAAAACAGGATGGGCACCTCTGGTCAACTCATCTCGACCGTGACGATTGTCAACAACGCTTATTATCATTACAACATCACAACCGTACCTACATACCCATTAATTAAATCCTATAATTTTCTCTTTACCGTCGAAATAAAAATTTGAATAATAAAATACTAAAAATACCAAACCGAAAAGAAATGAAGTTCTGTTCTATTTAGCATGCAATAAGTTCATTGCTTAATATAATGACAACAATACCACAACGCACGAACGGCAAGAAAAATACTAAAATATAGAAAATGTTGCAAAAACACGCAATTGTTTCAAGCAACAAGAATAAAAAATGTGAAAGTCGCACCAAACGCATTATAAAATTACTAATTGTTTGTAAATTATTACCTTGCTAAGGGTTGTGTTGCAGACAACTGCCATCTGAGTTTAAATCCATGGATAATCCGCAGTAAATCCAAGCAAACAATGAGAAAAACACAGCACGATAAATCACTGGATGCAAACGTACTTGTTTTTAAAAACAGCAAACACACAATGGCACAATATGGTTGCTCATAATGCGTGCGGTGCGCGCGCGCCGGCGAATGAAACGAAATGGCGTCGGACACCGCATCGCGCGATGCGAGCTACCCAAGTGTGACAAAACACTTGGTACGGAACGCCGGCGCGGTTATTTTTTATTATTTACAGGGGAAATCGACATCTATACACACAACAAACACAAACACGCGAATTCCACATACAAAATGTCTGAATTTATAAATAAAAACAAGATGGCCGACTCACCTGACATCGATACACTTGAATTTGGTTAGAATTGTCACTCCAAAGTTTCGTACTGATGTAAATCAAGTGCCGGACGAGTTTACACAGCATTTCTATTGATAACCTATAAAAATTCGATGGTTTTAGTGATTTTCATACAAAATGGAGGGCGAAGATGAAGCACCCGATGTCCCTGTGAAGTCTACATCATCCCTGAAGACTCCATCAGTGGATAATCGTACTTCAAGCCAAAATAACTCCAGAACATCAAAAAAGTCAGTGAATTATGATCTATCCAAGTCAGATACACGTCCCACATCAGTTTCTTCACCTGAACACACACCAATCGTATCCAAAACCACTGTAACCAGTGAATCATCAGCGCATGTCTCTGAAATACCTGAAGAACCAGTGAATTGTGATGAGGTCATACAGGAACTTGTAGAATCACACAAGGGATCAACCCAGGCGTCTACCACTTCAGAACCCACTCTACAACATGACCCAGAGTGTCCCATGTATGAAGAAGAATCAAAGGTGAAAGGAAAAAGCAAAAAGAAAGAAAAACCCCGAAGAAAAACAAAATCCACTTCGTATCATGATAAAGACCATGGGGATAGCCCTTGTCCACCAGGAGTAAGAATATGTTGTACCTGTGGTGTGTGTCCATTGGATCTTGTTGAAGAAGAAGAAAAAGGTGAAGATGAAGAAAGTAGAGATGCAAGCTATCAATCTGAATCAACAACGAAATCCAGCAGTGGGGAGAGTAGAGAAGATAAAGACGATGATGATCTATCCAGTGATGTATATGATCTTCAAAGTTACGATACAGAGACGGATTATTCTCGTAGTTATCGAAGTTGGTATGGTGAAGGATGGACTTCTCGTAAACCACGAGGAAAGCGTCAGAAACGTGATTTGGGAATGCGTTATGCTTCTGATGCTGCTGCAATGGAATTTAAAAGGATTTATGTAGTGTTTAAGCTAACATAACCTCAACTTTTTACTATTTTTATTTTTTAGGGTTTTTATCCACCAGCACCAATGTCTGATAGGTCTCGTCACGAGGGAAGCTTTATTGATGACTATATGAAGTTTTTCATTGAACCTTTTGATGTTTGCTATAAGTCTTTATCCTCAGTGACAAGTTCTTTTGTGAGTTGTGAAGAAACAGGACTCCAGAGGACCATTGTAATAGTCAAACCGGATGCTGTCAAATTTAAAGAAGCTATTTATCGGGTTATCTTCGAATCTGGGTTTCAAATTCTCGGCGTACATAACCAAAATCATATTCTAACCTCAAAAACTAATTTTTTGATGTTTTTTAGTTGCGTGTGTTGCATTTAACACCCGAACAAGTCTCGGAAATTTATTCAAAATACTATGGATCACCATCTTTCGTCCATCTTGTTGTATCTGTGAGTGACGCGCCTGTGCTTGCGATTTGTATATCCGCTATGAACGTAATCAAAAGATGGCTGAATCTGATCGGGCCCGATGGTTCCCTGCGTGCAGAATGGTTCTATCCGCTCAGTATGCGTAAATTGTTTGGTTTGGAAGATACTCATGCGGATTGGATACATGGATCGGAGAATCTTAAAGAATCCAACAAAGAAAATCGGTATTTTTACCCGAATGCTATCATTGAACCGATCATAGATGAGTTGGATAAAGTCAAAGACTATTGTGCGCTGACGATGAACAAGACAATTGTTGATGCTTGCACGGAACTGGTGAAGAAACGGCCTGCGGATCCGATTATTTTCTTTGCTGATTATTTACTTGTGCATAATCCATTCCAGCCGAGGTTCCCGCAGTATATTGCTATGACACCGACGTAATTTATACAATTTGTACAATATATTGACAATATTTTGCCAAATTGTACAATATATTGACAATATTTTACCAAATTGTACAATATATTGACAATATTTTGGGCGATTGTTCAATTTATTGATGAAAATCATTGTAAAATGATAAATTTTGAACTTACTGATGCTTCTTCCCTAAATATCACCTCCTAATGGTGATTCAAGACGTTTATCCTTTCAAATACACCAATTTCCTGCGATTTTAAGTCATCCACAAGCATTTCACCCAATTCATCAGTATAATTACTGACATAAACGTAATTAACACAATTAACACACAAAGAAAGTTGATTTCACATTTTCATAAACAAACAATAACCAAAATCTAACCGTTTTCAATCACTAAAACGTTTTCTTTCGTTTTCGTTCTACACTTTGCGAGTTTCAATGACAAACTAATCCATGGCGATCGCTTCATCGCCCGACCGGACGCGAATCGCAATAAAATTACACAAAAACACATAATCCACGTATTAATTACAATAAATACGTAATATTTATTATAATTACACGCGCCGTTGCTGTTTTACCATAAACTTTCGACGTAAATTTTGTTTTCATACTGCCTGGAATACTCATAACCTTAAATATTTATTCAAATTTTGTCAATTATCAAATCACAGCATTCACTACCGAAATTAACTCGTAAAACATTGGTATTCTGCTTAATCTGCGTAATCTTTGTTCATTATTGAGAATATTCTGTTAGTATATAACTATGGGGAAACACATCTAACGGTTAAAAAGAGTAATATTGAGGTTAAGTTTAAAATTAAGAGCTACTATGATGTTTAGATCTCATTTGCAGGCTTCTCACCCTTCCAAACTTTGGTTTTGCAGTGGGTGTGGGCCTATAACATTCAAAAATGATGTTTTAAAGTAAAATTTTAAGTTTTTAGCCACTTTTGTGAGACTTACACCATCGCCACACTCTTTGGCATTCTCGACGCTTTGGCACCAATAGCCAGGTCCCCAAGTACAACGATTACTGCCCAGTAATTCACGTTTCTTCAGCGTGTGTGCTGACTTAACACAAACACCGATTTTTTTGCATGTTTTCTCACTGCCAATGGTTGCAACAAAATGGAAAATTTTGTTTCCATAGGTTTCAATCAACGAATGACACTGTGACAAACAAAATGTTAGGTTATGCAACACAGAACACAGACAAATTTACCTTTGAGACGTGCTTGTTAGGTAGAGCAACACAAGCCTTCTCAAGAACATGTTCAGCACTGTGAATCAAGTTAGGATTGTCTAAAATCTCATCGACGAGTGTAACTGTAGCCTCGCATACAGCACAAGTATAAACGCTTTCTAAAATGACAGAAAACATAACCTATAATGACAACATAACCTCACATGCGATTATTTTTACCTTTGATAGCTTTAACGATTGGATTATTATCACACAAGACTAACAACGAGCATAATTCACCAGGCCGTGTGCCATCCCTCAACAAATTATAAATCATATCGCCGTACTTTTCAATAAAACCATCACACTGTTGTTCAGTGCTCTTGGGAAGCACACTACAAATAGTCTTGACAGTTTTCTCCATGTCATCTTCGCTTACAGTGCCAATAACTCCTTCTAACGCGTTGATAACCTGTTTACAAATAAAACAAACCGGTCCTGATTTCACTTGCATTTTGACAGGAACAGGAGCAGGAGCTGTCAAGGTGACTTTGTCACAGAGATTAATCATCGTGCAAATCTCCTTCGGTTCCACACTGGATATCAAAAGCTGTAAAACCATATCACCGTATTTGTCAACGAATCCATCACATTCCGCCCGCAGTGTTTTCGGCATTACTTTACACACGTTGTGCAAAGCTTGCTCAATCTCATCCTCAGTCGACTTATTCTTCAACATATCTTGCAATTGCGTCATGACAAACTCACACAGAGAACACGATGGTTTATTATTTACTTTAAGTTGACTAATTGGACGTCCATTCGCTGTCTGATCAGGAATTTCATTCGTATCTGTAATTAAACAATGATTGTACAACATAATGACAATATTTTGTGTGTTTGTACAATTTATTGATGTAAAATTATGTAAAAAGTTACTTACTAATGCTTCCTTCGTAGATATCACTTCCTAGAGGTGAAGCAGGACGATTATCCTTGCAAATCTTCAAGTAGACGCAAATTTCCTGCGGTTTGAAGTCATCCACGAGCATTTCCACCAGTTCATCGGTATAACCATCGACAAAATCTTGACATTCAGTGCGCAAATTGTCATTTAGATGTGAACACAAAGATTTCAACGCGTCTTTGATCGAATCTTTAGTTTTATGATCTTTTACCATCTCTTCCAGTTTAGTTACAGCAAACAAACACAACGGACAGTTGGGTTTATCTTCTGGAGTACCTTGCATGAACACTTCAATGTCATGATTGTCACTGCTGCTTGGACAAACACGAATCAGCGGACAAATCGTGCTTGGGTCAATCTCCTCGGCCAAGATGGCGACCAATGCTTCACCGTAGGAATTCACAAACTCCACACACGTCTCAGCTACGGAATTCGGCAGATGATCGCACGCCTGATCGACAATCTTCTTCATTTGACCTTCGGTTTTCGGATCTGTAATCGCCTGCTGGACATAATGGAGGAAATATTGACAGAATGTGCATAATTCTTTGTTGTAAACGTTGTTCATGAACGGACTATTAAGTCTCTCAATGGGCAACTGCATTAATTCAGGTGATTGATGCTCGAATTGCAATTGTTTTAGTTTTTCAGATGATTCCGGGGATAACATTGGCGCAATCGGTGCGGAATCGAATTGTTCGAAGCCAGGACCCGGGCAGATGTTGGTGAAATCACACACGACGGTTGAGTTTAACTCTTCGACCAAATATTTATAGATTGTTGGGTAGTATTGATTGACAATACCGAGGCATTCATCTTTGAAGTTACCAGTTTGCTTGCACAAGCCTTGCAGGACTTTTTGGAACTCGTTTTCGGTTGTGTCAGCAATCAGAAGGTCGCGTAAATGATTGACAAGCTGTTTGCACAGTTTACAAGCCGGATCATCACTAAATTCACATGTAAATATTATAAATAAGTTATTAATGATTGTTTGCAAGACTTACCCAATAGAAACAACGCCAACATTGCCCATAGATGTCACTTCAATCTCTGGATGCTTGTGGAAATTAATACTACACTCACCCGAAAGCAGACAAATCTTATCAGTTTTGAATTCTTTCTGTAAATGGCTGTAGATTTCGTTGAAGTAAGTAATGACAATATTACTGCATCCATCTGAGAATGTTCCAGTTCTTGCACAAATCTAATAATTCAAAGTTATTTCAAGTTATTTTTAGGTTAAACATGTGTTTTAGGTTATACCTGTAATAATCTTTGTAAAAATTCATCTCTACTCATATCAGTGAACTTCTTCTCCATGATATCCATCACATGATGACAACCAGTGCAGGTATCAACTTCTGAGTCAGTTTTTTGCTTGGTGACAAGCTCTTGTGAGCTGCTTTCAAGCAATTTGTCATATTTCAGATTATTGCACAAGCCTGCAACCGAGCACACAGTCTGTGGATTCATCTCAGAAGCTAAGGTGTCAATCAAATCAGGAATGAAATCGTCTGCTAGTTTACAGCATTCTTTCGAGACTACTTTGATTGGGATCAAGTTGCAGGAACCTTCAAAGACTTCTTTGATTTCTTCCTGCGTTTCGTTGCTTTCAAGTTGGTCTCGGGCTTGTTTAACCATGTCAAGACAGGTTTGACAGATTGAATCTCCATCTTCAGGGTAAGTTTTGTGTTGCCATACGGTTTGGATGCAGTGTTTCGTTGCGTGACAACCAGCAGCAGCACTTTAATAAGAAAAAGTTTATTTTTATGATAACTTTGGAAATAAGAGAGATAAAAAGTTGATTGTTGTGCTAAAATGTTTATCTGGTGAAAAACTATAAGATAAACTAAATAAATGTGTGGAAATTGTTGATATTTGCCAACATTTTAATGAAAAACATAAAAATTGTCAATAAAATGACAGTATATTGACGCGAATCAACATTTTAATGGAAACAAAGTTTATTTTTAAGATATCTTTTAAACTAAAGAAGATAGAGAGTTGATTTTTTATAAAAATGTTGATCTGATCAAGGACTACAAGATAATCTAAAGAAAAATGTTGAAATAATAAAAATTCAACAAGATTTTAACAAAAAATACAAAACATGTCAATAAAATGACAAGATATTGAAGCATAAGGAAACTATAAGCCATTCAAGGTCTTAATAGAAATAATGTCAATGGTATCATGTGAAAACAAAGAATCATCACATATTTATCACGCTGGTTATCAGTGAAACCAAGCAAAGGTCGCGAAATTGACCGCGCGCAATTAAAAACCGAATTTATTTATTTCGACAACGTAAATATGTTTATATCAACTTACGTTAAATTGGAGCACCAATACGACGGCCCCCAAGTACATTCCTTGCTGCCAAGAAGTGAAACATGCCGTTGAGATGCATATGGTTCAGGCGGTAGTGCTACGACTGCAAAAATACAATAATTATTTACTCTGAAGGCGACATTTGCGAGTTGAACGACTAATATGACTCTACATGACTAATGCAAAGACAAATTAACTTATAAAGTAAATAATTTAATGATTGTGCGCGCTGTGTGCGTGATTCATGCGATTGTAAATCGAATCCTGCTGGAAACATTAAAATTTTCAATACTCTGCATGGGATTAACACATTTACATGCTTTAAATGCTTAAAATACATTCGGGACAATGAGTAAGTTAATTATAAACGTGCATGTGATGAACATGCAGGTTTTCAGGCAACAAACCGAACAAAACAACACAATTTTGTTCAAATCCTGCGCACGTTTTCAACGCGCGATAAACAATCAATTTCTCCAGTGTGAAATGATGTAATTTGTTATGCTTGTGATGTGTTTGCACTTACCGCAGACGAATGCTGCGACGCAGAAGACGAAAAACGTCTTCAGCATGTTGTTGAAGGAAACAAAGAACGTTCGGACGCACTTATAATCTTCGGACGTGATGTGAAAAGAAATTATCACTCGTATATTGATATGACATGCACGGGTCAGACACAAACACGTCAGAATGTGACGATTTGCTGCGATCGAATGCGGGTGTTGCGAGCAAACAGAGAGAATGTTTTGTTTAGATTCGACTGACCGCGCCGCAGCCGGACGCTCGAAGGTTGATCGCAGTGAATCGAAGTCCTGTAGTGGGGCGAGAGTATTAAACATGTGTATTGGGTGACAGTACAGTACTAATACTGCAGGAAAAGTGTATATTGGGTTGCCTATATATTTTTTCAAACAGGATGCGACACTAGCGCTGTACCGGTGTAAGCTTGCTCAGTTGAGTAAAAACAAGCGTCGTGATTAGTTGTGAACATTTTGCAGTCGTGTAAACCGCGTGGAGTTATAGTTGTAAGTTATATTTAAAACGGAATTCGTATAAATTTGCGCATTGTGCGATGCAGCACTGCGATTGTTTCGGTCAATTTGATTAGGTATATGTTTCGGTAGCGGTTTAAAACTAATCAGGGAAATATAGCGTCATGTAAAACTAACATGGCGGACAAACGGTTTCAAAGCAAAACAAATGCGCCAAGTATAAAAAATTCTTATATTAAAAGAAGAATAAATATCTATCTTTTCATAAACACGTACGCTTTAAATCATATAATATTCACGTTACTTTGTACAATTTAACACTTAGTACATACTCGCGCGTTCATCTCACGCATCATACATCATGTGCTGCAGGAAATCGTTCACATCCACATTCTGCAATAATTCGTGATCAATTTTCATCTTCTTACTCGCATCCGAGACATCCACGACTTCTTTATCATCAGCTTTTCGTTTCTTGTCTCTAAACAATACCCACACAATAAATACATGAAAAGTTAGGTTATATAGCTAATGCGCACACTCACCCGTTAGCAAAATGGCCGCCGATGTTTGAACTCTCCTGTTCTTTCTTCACCAACACCGAAGATGACGATGATGATGATGCCAGTGATGATTTCTGCTTTGCTTCAATCACAACATGATTCAGCACTTTTACCTTACTCTTATTCACCTTGGGTTTCCTCGACGGAGTCTGATGGTAATCAAACAGACACTCGAACGGCGACACATGCATCACTTTTTCTATTTCAGCATCAGTTGCATCATCGTAGGTCGTCATGCAATACGCCTTGGTCAACCGGAGGTTATCATCCTTTGCATCACGAATTCCAGCAGCATTACTTTGTACATTTGATCCATCGAAGAAAATCGGGTCGGAAAACACGCGTATATCAAAAAAAATCAAATCTTCTTCGGGTGTGTTAATCGTAGTCACACATCTCCCAATATTTTCTTTCTTCGGGATAAAAACACTTGTTTCATACTCAACTTTACTTGCAACTTTAGTTGCTTCTTCTTCTTCTTGTTTTTCGATAGTTTCACGTTCTTTTAGGTTGATTCCTCGTTCTTTCAACCCAGCAATCAAATTCTTCGCATCTTCACCGGTAGAACCTTTTAAAACCTTCACATTTTCATCGGGTTTGATATTTATCTCTGGTTTTGGCTCACTTGGTGGCTTCTCAACCTTTTTCTTCGGTGTTTTGGTGGTTTTTACCGGTTCAACTTTACGTTTCATCGCTAGTTTGGTCAATTTCTCCAACACAGGCACCAACTTCTTCTTTTTCGCAGTCTTGGGATCCTCAACCACTAAAATCTCATCATGTACCGGACTATTAACTGCATTATCTTTAACAGATTCCAATTTTTCCGGTTCTGCATTATTTTTAACAGATTCTGTTTTCTCCGGTTCTGTATTTGAATTAGGACATAACAACTCAGTCTCGACGATCTCAAATGGTCTAATCACAAGTTCCTCATCAGAAGACGTCATCAACAAGTCTTCTTCTTTCAATTTCACTGTATTGGACCTTAAAACCCTCGCTGTGGTCGCCGGTTTCTTTTTCTTAGCTGCAGTTTTCCTACCTTTCTCCCCACCATCATTTTAATACCTTCGAGAACCCTCATACGCTTCCGGTCCAAATCGCTTAAAATCTTAGTTTTATTATCATCCAACTTGGATGGTTTATCATTTAACACCGGGATAAACTCAACCGAACTCACGATATCATTTATATCTTTGTTTTTCACCTCATCGCTGGTATTCAACGACCTGGACCTCAACGGATACCTGGAAGGCTGTTTTTCCACAACAGTCGCATTTGTTGGCTCATCAAGATCCGATTCCGAGTCATCAGAAGAAGACGAAGAACTACTACTGCTTGTACTGGTATTACTAGACTCATCAGAAGTACTTTTATCCTTATCCTTCATAAGATTTAAATTTTTCCTGCCGATAACATTCACAGTTTCCAACCTGTTGCACTCCTGAATCAATTTTTCCAAAGATTTATTCGCTTCGGTGTCTGACGGTTGATAATACGACGAAGATGTGGAATAATCCGTTGGGCGATTATAAGATGGCGACCCATTTCCATCAATAAACGGAGTGATTGCAAAACTCGGTGTTAATATTAATTTCGGTGTTTGGATGCTGGCGATATCCATTCCTGCGATTTGTTCGTTGAATACTCGTGTTAATGGCGTCTCGACTGTTTCCGCCGGGTTATAAACACAGGGTGTTTTCGGATAGTCTTTCGCTGGTGTTTCTAGCAACGGTGTGATGTTCCTGACCGTTGATGATGATGGTAGTATGCATGGTACGACCATAGGTTCCAGTTTATTCACCTCAGGTGTTGTGGTATTCAATACTTCCTGTTTCAGGACAACTTCCAAGTCGAGAGAGCGTTTACTTCCGTTTAATTTCGATGGAGATAAAACCAGTTTATCTGAATCAATGATAATATCCTGTTTTGTTTCGGTTTCTTTTGGTATTGATAATTTTACTTCTTTTTTTGCATCCGTATTGCATTTCCGGTTGAATCTCGGCGGTTTATTTATATTTATCAAGTTGACATTCTCAACTTTTGTTTCGTCGATGATTTGTTTAGTTTTCTGGTTTTTTAATGATACTGGAGTGGTTTCATTGGTTTTTTCTGCTTTGTTAGTATTTTTCGGACTTGCATTGAGTGTTTTACTCTTGGATTTCGGAGTTTTTCGCTGTGGAGTCTTTTTCTTCACTGTAGACTTTGCTTTTGTTGCTTTTTCCGGTTTAGTTTTATTCGTGACATCAATATTTTCATCTGGGGACTTGTCCATGTTCAAACCAGCTCGGTATTTCATATCCCATGGTTCTTTTGGTTTATCTTTCACTTTACTTTGTGATTTTTACCTTTACCCGCTGAATTTTCATCATTCGAAAACAGGGACTTTGATGGTTTCTGTTTGCTTGAATTCGTATAAGTTTTCGTCGGTGAACTTGACGCTTGTTTGATTTTCAGCACTTCTTTCGCCGGCGTTTGGAATTTAAAGTCAAGCGCACGTATGTGTGACCTACCACCACTTTTCGGCGTCTGTGCAGGCGCTGGTAACTTGGTAATCTGTGTCTGGTCCGGCGTTTTCGTATCAATCACTGTTTCAATATTCACAACCTCTGTAGCCTGTTCAATTTGTAACAATTGTTGATTTTCTGCTTGGATTAACGTAAAAGTTTCTTCTTGTTGATCATTAGACACATCACATTTGTATAAAGTGATAAAATCCGCAATAGTTTCGGTTCTGTTTTGAACAGGAAGCATTTTGATGCGTTCTTCAGGTACTTGCACACCTTGCTCCACCATAACTAAAAAAATAAACATTTAACATTCAAAATCTTTAAATTATTAAAGTTTTTAAACATTTACGCACCTCTTTCATCGTGTTTCTCATTACAAACATAAACAGGCATGGATAATATATCCTGTTCAGTTAAATTATACACAACTGATGAACAAGCAGTGTTATTAACACATCCTGTCCCATCGATGATGATAATATCTTTATTGGTTATATTTGTTGTGGATGATGGTGCTTCCGGTGGTTTTTCTTTCTCCGTGAAACTCGCACCCAGAATTTCCTGTAGAAGACTTTCAAATGCTGGTTCCCTCTGTGCTTCTGATACTTCTGCAATCGCAGACTCAACTTCCCTTGAAATAACAGATTCCTTCACTTCTGGGCATCGTACTTCATTGATTGTATGCGCGATTTTCTCTTGTAATTCCTCCCTAGCAAGTAAAGTCTCCTTGAAAACCTCAACAACCTCCTGAATGGGTGGGTTTTCATTATCTCCCGAACTACTTTGTTCTGTTTCTGTTTCGTTTACTTGTATTGCATTGCCAGGTAATGTTTTGAGTGGTGTTGCAGTGACGTCTAAAGTAGAACTGAAGTCAATTGATGTATTTGCTTCATTTTCTGATGGTACAGGACTAATTGAACTTGTGATGCTTTTACTTTTACCATGTGAGACATGATTGAGTAGGTAGAGGAGTTGTTGAGGTAGTTCTTGATAATGAAATGATTTGTTTTCAAAATATTCAGTGTCCTCCAGGCGCGGTTGAACAATGGTGTAGATTTCACTGTATTGTTGCAGGATGTCTTCCAATCCCATTCCATAGTATCTCGTGGAGATTTTCTGTCTCTTCTGTCTGTATTTCTCAAAATGTGGGCATTGTTTATAGAAGATATTGTAGGCTAGTTTCTGGTTTTCTTTCTTTAAGTATCCTATGAAAATATATTAGGAAATTTATTAACAAAAAATTTCTTCCCGCCAATCCACCCTTTGGATAACATTGGACAAACCCTTAGAATATTTATGCATTTACCTAGAACAAGACGCGCGATCTGCTGCTGCGATATGTCTTCCATTTTGTTGGTGATTGCACTTTGTTGGGCTTTGTTTCAAAATACTAAATCTGCAGCACTTGAATTCGTTTGTTTTCACCTTTTGATAATTTCCATCGCGCACCAAACAATCCCATTAGAAAACCGTTGATAGCAGATTGAGCTGAAGAGAAGATAGGTTAGTTAGTGTATTTTCAGTTTGTTAGTCCACTTGGATTTCATTTCGGACTTGTACCAAAGAGGGAACTAGCAACTTGCTGTTTACGGTTAGTTTCGTGTGGTTTTTGTGCTTAAATGCGTGAGGATTGAGAATGGCGTGGTTCTTCTTGTCTAGGCGAAGAAAAGACGGTTAGACAAGAGCAGGTGTTGATTATAAATGGGGGATGACTGAATAACGACTTTAACGAATGCAAGAAAACCGTTAGTTGCTTAAACCGTTAAATTTTAGTTAAATATGATTTATACGAAAGAATTTGGGATATTTTTGCGTGTTTCTTGAAGATTTGAATCAAATTAAACCCAAAAAACGGTGTAAAACACTTTTTTCATCGTTTCTTTAACAAAAGACACAAATTTTCTCAATTTTCAAGTTATGAATACGTTGATTTCAATATTTCGTTCTTTTCACTTTATTAATTACAAAAATACGTAAATTTTACTAGAAAACTTCGAATTTTTAAAGATTTCGTCTGTTTTATTGATAAAATAGACTTGGCATCACTTAAATATTCTTAATTGTGCTTAATTGCATAAATTTATTGAAAAATAGCAAATATTTGATAACTTTTTAGAAAAATATAATTTTTACAAAGGATTTCGGTATGTTTTTACACATTTTTTGGAAGATTTCGATAAAATTTCGGTTAAAAAACATTAAAACCAAGTAAATTTTATATATATATTCTTTTTAATGAGTTAAACACATCAGTCTTAAAGATATATTAATATGTTTTATGTACAATACGTAATAATATTCGTTTTATATGTATTTCTGTACTTTCCAAGCCATTTTTAAACTCTTTTCATCTAATAAAAACACAAACCAACGAAAAAAATAATCATTTCCAAGTCTAAATTGTTATTATCATTACTTAATCGCTACGTTTTGCTCCCAAATACTATCGTCGTAATACCGTGGATCGCATATCCTCATCGCAGCCCTTTTGTAAGAGTAATAATAAAATGGCGACGCTAAAATAAATATTATTTTGATTACAATTATCAAATATATAATTTTATGTTATTGTATTTTACCTAATCGATGAATGACAAACATAATCGTGAATCCAACCGACCAAATGCGCACGTCTTCTTGTGATTGCACAATCAGCAACCAAATGTATTGTATTGTCGTGAGTATGAAGTAAAGCACGCAGATACAAATTGCTACACGAAAACGATCATAAAGCAATTCAATTAAACCAGCCTGAAACAAAAAAAGCATTTTTTATTAGTTTTATGATAACAAATAGTTTTAAAAGTACGAATTTATCATAAAATATTAAAATAACGTAAAAAATCAATTATTTTTGAGTATTTTTCATAAAAAAGTTAAGTTTTCTATGTTTTCCTCATAAAAAAATGAAGTTTTCAACAATTTTCTCATAGAAAATTAAGTATTCAACATTTTTCTTATAAAAAATAAGATTTTCAACCTTTTTTAAATAAAAAATTAAGTTTTAAACGTTTTTCTCTTTAAAAAAATGAAAATTTCAAAGTTTTTCTTAATTTTTATCACAACTACTTGTCTGATATGCCTAAAAATTTGCCCAAATGTGATAAAAACCTTTTCATGACAATAACAAACACAATAACAAAAGAATTATTCAATTTTTTCCAATATTTTAGAAGTTATACGTGTTCAAACATACATTTTACCAATTAATTAATAACTATCAATTATTTTCACTTACTTGAAACACATACGTCGAGAAAAACGTCAGTAACAGCAGCGCCAACGCAAAGATAAGACTTAAATCTTGAGCACTACAAAGAAATGCATGATAACACCGTAAATGATTAATTTATCAATCAACTCACATAAATAATATGAGTATAATCGCATGCTGACGTTTGTAACACAGCGAGAATGTATTGAGTGCGATGTCCAGGCAGAAGAGCAGTGTTTGTATCGTGAATATCACGCGGAACTTCTGCAGGCTTATCTTCATAATTTCACTGATGTACGCAGTGTACACTACTAGCTCATTTTCGATGCGAAATGCGAATTATTTGACATTGTTATATACTCCCTATGATGTTGTCGTAAATTTCTATTGATTGTGACACTCTGACATTTAGTTCAGCACTGTTCGGCGAGGGAAAATCGTCCACTTGTTGTTGGGAAATGCTCGCGCTGGCTGCGCAAGCGAATTATTGAATTTTCGGTATTGTGGGGGCGAGAAACGAATAGGGACGAGTTTGTAACGAGAGCACACGATGCATATACATAGGATTAAAGATAGGGTTGGTTTTTAATTAGAAAATTTTGAATTTATTACGAAAAATTTGATTTTATGCAGAAATATAGAGAAAAACAGAAATTTTTAATGTTTTTGATTGTATTTAATAGAAAAATTCATAAAAAACGACAGTTTTATTGAGAAAAATGCTAAATTGTTGCCAAATATTGCAAAAAACATCACATTTTTGATATTTTTGAGTTTATTTCTTAGAAAAAAGCATAAAAACCTCAAATACTGCAAAATTTCGACCATTTTATTGATAAATAACCTTAACACAACTTAAAAATGCTTAATTCTGCAGAAATATGATCAAAAACAGCGACAATTTCACGTTTTTCGCTTTATTTCTAAGATAAATCATAAAAACTTCAAATACTGCAAAATTTCGACCATTTTATTGATAAATAGACTTAACACAACTTAAAAATGCTTAACTATGCAGAAAACTGATGAAAAACAGCAAAAATTCCATGTTTTTCACTTTATTTCTTAGAAAAAATCATAAAAACTACAAAAAAACTTCAATTACTTTAAGATTTCGACTATTTTATTGATAAAATAGACTTGGCATCACTTAAATATCATAATCTTCACTTATCTGCAAAACTTCAATATAGAATACATTTATCTATAAACATACAATTGTCATTTATCATATTATCGCAACACGTCAGGTATTTATTGCAATAAATTCTTTATAAAAAATCAATATTCTCATCAGATTCTAGTGGTTGACTAGTTATCTAAACAGGGAGAGTTTCCGCGCAGGCATCTTACCCTCCGAGTTTAGGAAAGCCGCCTGTATCACCTCCAGTGATGGCATGTGGCGCAAATCTCCTCGGGCTGCCACCGACGGTTGTGAACTGAGTAAACGTCGTGCCACGGCTATTATATTATCACGCGTGATTTTTTCTATAAAAACAAAGCAAAACATACAAGAAAATTAAATTTTAATCGATTAAAAATTATTTTACGTACCTATTGCTTCGATATAATAACTCGGCCGTTTTCGATGTCCGGTTGCCAAAACTTGTCGCGCAATATCCTCGAAAACAACCGGCCGTGATTCCAGATTCATTAACAACATTGATTGAAGTTGTGTTTTAGCTCTCTGAGAAGAAATAAATAGAAATAGAAATAAATATAGGATATTATTTAAAATTTAAGAATATTTTACCCGTAATTCGGTTTCTGTGATATTATTAGTCATAAAAACCATTTCTTTGACAATAACTTCAACCATATCACGTAACTGCGCGGGCGGTGCACTTGCATGAATACAAAACAATCCAGAATCAGCGTAGGCGTGATTGTATGCTGTTGCACTATACATCCAATGATATCTTTAACAAAAAATCAAATTTTCACAATTTTCACGTTTTAAATAATTTTTAAAGCAACAAAAACTAGCCTATGATCTATTCTAATATATAAACTATATTATTACAAAATTTTAGAACATTTTATCGAATAGTTTATGTGTAAAAGAGTAACAAACATAATTTTTAACCTTACTTGTTAAGTACGTTTGTGTATAACCTAGTATACATCCCTTTTCCAGGCCCACCAGCACTAAACGACCCGCCACCGCCCATCATCATGTTCAACACACACATGGCGATGAAATCATCATCCTGATGCGAACAACCTTCCAGACCAATCATCACATGGCACAAAACAGGTAGGCCCGCTGAAGCAAACTGCGGAATCTCACATTCTTCCTAAAAACATCAAAAAATCAACATTTTTACTTTAAAAACTAAACAAAAACTAAAAATAATTACTTGTACTAATCCCCCTGTATACTGTGAAACACTTTCATCAATATTAACCGACTTGTGCGGTTGATACAGCGCTGGTTTCGCTTCCCAAACGGATTTCTCATCAACAAAGAATTTCTGTGCTGAATCCACCAATCTTTGGTGATCCACACCAACACCAGCAATAACCATGCGCTTGGGTACAATATGTTGTCGCAAATAGTTAAATATCATCGGTCTGTCAATTTTATTAATATTATTCGATGGGCATAGTTTCGGAAGACCCAGTGTGTTGTCTCTGTAAGCAGCTGCATGGATCATATCCATGAGTAGTGTTTCTTGCTCTGGACGCATTGCCAATGTCTCCAATTCAAAATATATCGCTTGTTTGGCGTATTCAAGTTCTTCTTGAGTGATTCTCGGACGTAGGACAACTTCGCCGAGGAGTTTCATCACGTCGTTCAAACCGGTGTTGTATGCGGACGCCGCGTAGATCATTGTATCTCTGGATGCTTGACTGTCACAGATACCACCATGTTGTTCGAGATTGTTCATCATTGCATCTTTGTCTGGATATTTACTTGTTGACTAAAATTTCAAGCAATACTTGTGTTAAACTTGCTTTAGTTGTTAAAAATCTTGTTTTACTTACATGAAAAGCTAACTTTTCAAGAAAATGTGATATTCCACTTGGGTATGCAACTTCATACCGTGATCCAGAGTCTATCACAACCCCAACAGTGCAGAATTCACCAAACCGATTCTCTGATGCAATACGCAAGCCATTTGCTAGTGTGGTGATTTGTGTCTTTTGTGAGGACTCTTTGTAGTCGGAATAGACGGGTTCTGGTAGTCCAGGAACTGGTTGGTTCATCGGAGGCATGTCTGTGACGCGTCCACGGAAGGACAAGTCGCTGTCCGCTTCCGTGGAGGCTGTCTCCGAGAAGAGTCTCGAAGAAATGTAGTGGCATAACCTAGAAATTCACTAGGAGTTTAAATTTGATTTTTGTGAGGGTTTTGGGGTTTAATTGGTGAGATTTACTTGCCTTGCGGTTCGCGGCGTACCTTGGTGGCACAATCGAAGCATTGTTTACTAAATTCTTTGGTTTGTTATTACAATTTTAAAGAGAACTAAATTATAATTTTGACAGTACTAAATCCTAATCAACAGCGGTAACCATGTTTTTCTTTTTGTTTCACTGCGCATGTGGAATCAATTCAGGAGTGGGGGTATAAATACTTTTTTAAAAGTTACTGTCAGTTTTGAAATAAACATTTATCCGTCATATTTTGCTGCTTTACATATAAAAATGGTGAATTTTGTAATCGCTGGTAAACCCGATTGTAAAAATTTCGTTCAGGTTTTAAACGTTGCGTGTTATTTACAAAAGAATCTCCCGTCTTTCGAATATACAAAAATCGAGCTTACCGATTACGAATGGGCTGATTATTTAATAAAAACCAATCGGGAGCATCAATGGCATCATGGAGAGTCTCCTCTTATTTACAAAGAACTCTACACTTACGGTTCAAAAAAACCTAACCTCATCGGAGGCATCAGCGAGTTTTGGGAGTATTGTTATGACTATTACGGTATAGAGGTCGCCCTAACTGAGGATGAAGTCGAAGCTTTACGCAGTCATAACCTCGAAAGTTTCAATAAAACATCAGTGGTACAATAAAAACAAACTAAAAATAATGATTTACGGAGCTACGAACAACATGACATCACTTCTACTCCCAGAATTCATGAAAATCGAAGAATGTCGATATCCGGAAGAGTTACAGTTCTTTCTATACGATGAAAAGCTAGAAACAAGCAACCAAACGTACTTTGACAACTTCAACGAGGAATTCACGGATTTATATGGAACCAAAGCAATTTACTGCGATAGTTTAGCAGTGGGGTTGAAGGATTGCGATTATCTCATCATGCTTGATGACACGTCAGCGTAAAACTAACCTAAAACATCTCCACAAAGCTAAACATTTTTATAGGTTAGAAATCTTTGACGATTCAGAAGAGTTGCAGAACTACTTTTTACAAATATGTTTCCTCTGTGAAGAGATAAATTCATGCGCAAATCGCAATATGAAAATCATCTTTGCAAACAATGGTTACTCATGTTTAATCGCTACAATCGTAGCGAGAAAAGTGCGTATCCCCACTCCCAAATCGTGGTTGTAAGCAGTGACCGCGGATTAGGTTACCTCGGTGAAATGTCACGACGTTTAAACATTGACACACGCAAAATGAGCGCGCCACCTGTCTGGGGCTCTTTAGGATTCAATGATTTTGTTGATGCTGGTAGTACCCTTCTAAAATGCAAAGTTTACAAACCCAACGCACGCGCAGTACACGCCCCCAAAGATTCCACCTAACTCATGGCACAATCCGCTGCGAATTGAGATATATTAATTATTTGAGTGATAATATAAAAGATTTGGCAGAAACCGTTAACAGACGTCGAGAAATTGTGAGGCACACTTTACAAAGACCTGCAATGCTTGCAAAATTAGAAGCTTTGTTGTCCTTGTTGAAGATTTGGTTGGATTGTTCAACCATAAAAGACCCGATTATTAGTTTAGGGATAATGTCGGATGGGTCTTTTAACATCCCGCCGAAAATTGTGTTTTCCCAACCTGCGATAAGGTTTAAGAATGGGTGGATCCCTTATTCCAGTTATCCTGTCCCGAAACATATCCTGGAAAGTGTCATGGCCGCCGGAATAGACGCGGAAACTCATTATGAAAGTTATATAGGTGGTAAAACCTTCAAAGAAGTGCAGAAGAGGTTAACATATGAATATTTTAATGATGAAATGCCAAAGTAAGAATTCTAACCTCAAATAACTTAATTTAACCTGACATAACCTCATTTTTCCGCTTTTTAAATTTTTAGCTTTCCTGATTTAAGCATTGAAGATTTTGGACAGTATTTAGAAAGTATAACAACACTATAATTTTCTGCTCGGAATAATAATGGTGGTCTAATATTTATTTATTTACTCATTTCTTAATCTAATATAAATAAATTCATTAATATGATGTTTATATACACGTATTATTTTGTTTTTCTTGGTTTGTTTGTTATCACATACATTGAAAAATATTTTGCGGTATCGAATATTGCACAAAAGTGCCCGTTTATTTCCGGTTTGCCGGTTATATTGTCAACTACGTTTCAATCTTTATTTTTTTACGACTTTCGGTTGTGTTTTTTACTACGAGGTGCACGAATACTACGGTAACATAACCTCTAAACGTTATGCAACACAATAGACATGATTTAGTTTTGTAGGTTATGTTTTTAGTGCAACATTGCTTACATTTTTCGCTAAAACATAGAAACTAATATTCAGTATACACGATTTTTTTGTAGTTTTTCATGTTTTGCTTAACATTAATAGCAATAAAGCAGGTTTTAATCACATGTGACGCAAAACAAATAGTTTTTACAATAATTAATCACAAATTAATAGCAAAATAATAAAATCTCTTTGTAGGTAATTTCTTTTTATCATTAGATAAATATTCTTAAACTTTTTTTTTTAGTATATTACTCTATTTGTTCTAATATGTCTCTTCATTTCCGTTTAAACTTGTTCATCTCAGGTATATAGGTTAGGTATTTACACAATTTCTACTGTACAGTGAATCTGGGTGGAGGTGTTTTGGTTAAATGCGTTTTTTTGCTTTTTAAATGGCACCGATATAGACACGTATTACACACTCAAATCTAAAATGTCCACTCATTAGCCGCCATTTTGTACCGGTTTACTTCTCGTTATGTCGCAGCTGCGCATAACAACTCTGACACACCCTAACTGGCTTGAGTATGCGCAGACGAGAGATTTCGCTCTCGAAGCGCGAGCATTTACTGCAAAACACCTGCCCACAATTGCGACAGTGATGTTTACGCTCGTAGATTGTGAATTTGACGTTGCAATTGGCGCAGTAATCGGCTCCTTCGTCCTTTAGCCAATGATCGGCTGCTCGGCCGGGGATATCACACACGCTCCATGAAAACACTCGTCCGCGGGCGTCGCCAACGTAAACTGTACGATGCTCCCTAAATTTACGCCAATTGTTTTAATTTTTTGCTTAAATTAAGTAAAATTTACTTACTTTGAGACAGCTAGGGCTGTAATGGATGCTGGCTCAGCATTATCCTTCCTGTCATAAGCTGTGTGCATGGTTAATTTACTCCTGAAGACTAATTGTCTCTGCCATTTAAACCCTGAACAAATATTTAATTAACTTGACTTATTTTAAGTCATTTATAAAAATATTACCTGGTCTTAGTGAATTTAAAGGATTTATCTTCTTCTTTGCATCGGGTACCATCACAAAAGAATCTGTGAGACTTGTATCCGATTTACTGGTCCTCATATTGATGGAATCATCAACCTCCAGGCTATTATTGTCCGCACTGGCCCCACCTTCACTTTTTCTAAACCCTCCATGAACCCTTGACCTCCTCCTTCGTACAGGAGCAGTGGGTACCTTCACTTCTTCAGAATCACTACAAGTTTCCTTCTCGTCTTCTTGTTCAGACCTCCATTCTTTGGGACTACCCTCTTTTAGTATCTTAGCAGCACTATCCTCAGATAAACTACTCTCTGACCCGCTTTTCATCAGTGATATAGACGACCCTGTCCCTGATCCGGAATCATTGGATATGTTAATCTGTTTTACAAGTCTGCTATGCAAAGCAAGAGGTTTCTTAGTGGGAGTTAAACTCTCCTCGCGTTTGAGATGCAAAGCAAGGTCTTTCTCATCCATGGGGACTTGCACATAGTCAATTGACCACATCCGGGTCACACCATCAGTTGACCCTGTCATGATTACATTCGACGCGTCCCATTCGTGTGTCTGGGAAAATGCCACACATAGAATCTGTTGCATTCGATCAGCTCGACCCACACAAGTATTCACACTTGCTAATTCATCACCGTTGATACTCCAGACATGTAACCAAGTAGCTGCACAGGTAGCAATATCCCCTGTAAGGTCATTTACTGCCACAGCCGCCACAGGTCCTGCATGACCTCGGAGTTGTCTTACAAACATCCCACGACTCAAGTCCCATACAATGGCGGTACCATCCGGGAACCGGAAACTATTACATTGTATGCTGGGCTAGCAGCTAGACAGGTCACGGCATCCGTATGGGCATACAGACTGAATCTTATCTTGAGTTGTTTTTACGCACATCATACTCCCAGATGGTGATTACCGAACTGGTCCCTGCTGTGACTATCAGTTTTGATGAAGGGCAGACACAGGCAACAATCTCCCCCGAATTTTGAACGACTGTCTCGCTTACAAAAACTGCTTTGTCGCTATCATAGTTGCCTATGCGGAGGGAATGATCAGCGAAACCCCAAGCGACGTATTTGTTGTAATTCGGGGGCATGAGGATTTTGTTTTGTTCCACTGCCAGGACACATTTATCCACGTGGAGGATTTGTCCCACAGGACTTTTTACTTCTAAAGAAATAAAAATTTTAATATTTTGTTGTATTTTTGGGGTTATAAATACCTTTTATAGGTTGTAAAGATGGCCGTAGGTTGTCTAAATGATGAAAGAATAATCTTTCCGGTTGGGGTAAAGCAAATGCCTGAACCAGAGCACCTGTATCAATAACCGACGTCCGGTTGTTGTTCCCACCCATCTTTTACACGGATGTGGTTTTAAACAATTGTTTCGGTATCTGGCCGAAATTATTGATAAAACCAATTGTTGCGTTCTTCTTCAACGGATCATCAATACTAAAACACAAAAATATTAATCAACAATTAATACAAAACTATTTTAAAACATGTTTTACTTGTAAATATCAACGTTTCCTTCATAGAACAAATGATGAAAGACATTGACACTGTCCACAGCAGGTTGTCCATTCTGTTTGTACCCAAAAATCAAATCAATCCAATGATGTAGATTCTGTGAAACAAAGTCACATTCCAGCGCCATTCTGTGTACCCGAATAAACTCTCTAGGATCTTGTTTTGCCCATGGTGGTAAAACAGTGTCACCCAAAAAGACACCACTTTGTTTGGATCCGAGGTCAAAGTGGTTGGAATTGACTAAAAATTCAGGCAAATAGAAGAATTCCGGGATGAGTTCTTTTACGTCCGCCATATTGTGACGACTTGCGGAATTCCACGCTTCTTTCACACTGTGGAACATTCGATCAGCCAAATCAAAATGGCCGCCTTGTAGACGTAGAAAATGTTGGGTGAATGGTTCCATTCTTACAAGATACGAACAGACAATCATGGCGCTTGAATAGTGCGTGCCGTAGTGATAAGGAGGCGTTTCCCCATGCGGGTCATCCCATTCTTTGAACCTTTTGCGGAATTGATCTAATCTGTCATGGCTTTGTGCCCCCATAGGTTTGGTAAAGTCTCTGAATGTGGAGGGATCAGATAGATCTAATTCTTCAGCGTCGTAGTCAGCCAAGATCCATGGAAACACAGGATATTGCATTAGGTCATTATAGGACCTTCCTGCGAGGGTGTTGAGATGCATGAGATACTGAAAATTAGAAATCTCTCCTCGGACCCATCTTTGGGTAACACTAGTTTCTCCAATTAAGTTTGATAATATCCCCGTGGTTTGTTCAACATTAGCTGTACGCTTCTGACCCGCAACTGATTGTTGAGCACTATCAGAGATCCCCGTTGCTGTGGCCATGAATCTTTGATAGACCTTATTCCGGACTTTTCTGGGGAATGCAAGAAGGTAATTACGACCATCTCCTGAGAATACTTCCAGGGCCATGGGTTGTAGAAGATAACGACGTTTGTGAACCTCCCGGATATCATCATAAGCAAATTTAGAGCAATGTCTCATAGCTCTTGACCTTCTGGGAGATCCAGGGTTTGGTAAAATAGGTTCGTACCCATTCTGGGGGACACTTTCAATGTCACGTATTTCACGACTTTTCAACAATGTGAAACCATCTACGACATAACAATGCTCCTGACCGAATAGTAGTAAACCTTCAGTGGTGTCCAGCCCTTGAATGCGGGCACACCTGAACATATAGGTCACTTTTTCATTCTCCTGCAACAATCTCAACAGGGTTTGATTGTCTGGTACAGGTTGCTCTTCTTCATTCTCTGGTTCATCCTGTTGATCATCGGGATCTGACTTCAGCCGTGCTAAATGTGGTAGAGCTTGTAGGGGTAATGGTGAGGATTCTTCAGTGATACTATCAGACCGCTCTGGTTCAGCTAACCCACAACTCACATTCCGTTGTTGTAGAGCGTGATAATGAAGTTTGCTATGATGACTTGTAGCAACTTTGTATTTCGGTGGTCCTTTTCATGTTCAGGTCTGAAGGGGTAGTGTAGATAAAACAATTCATTTTTCATCATTTTCTTGCGCATACGATGAGGTCCTTCTGTCATGTCCAACATCCATTTATCATAGGTACAAGGTAAAGGTGATCCCCATAGACCCCGTTCCCTGGTTAACTCTGTTTCTGTTTGTAACCATTCCTGGTGTACATAACGTTGAGTATGTTGGGTAGTGTTAATATGTTGACCCCTTCGGATTTCCACTAATTCCTTGACCAGATTCACATGGCTCAATCCCCAGGTCATTGCTTGCTCCTTGGTCACACGCACCCTAACTCTAGAAACTTCATCTTTTCTTACTTTGGTTCTACTAGCTAATCTGGTGAGACCTCCTGTGACTTTATGAATCTTGCTCTGAATCTGGTTATGCAACTCCCATGGGACTCTATATGTTGCCTTCCGTTCTGCATCAACATAATTCAACCATAATTTCGTAGCTGCTTCCAGGACCTGTTCTCTTGCAGTGGTCAAATCAGGTGCTTTACATCCCTGTGCAGGTGATACCAGTGTTATCTTAAACACTTCTTCAATCGCAGGTTTCTTACAAACATACAACTCCTCCCAAACTCTCAACGCAGCACCCGCCATTAAATTCCTCCCTTGATGAGCATTCAAATTATCATCCTGAGTCTCCAGATCTGTTCCGGGATTAACATGCCACGTGGTTTTCATATTGGAATCCAACATGATTTTCATATCCGAGGTTAACTGCAGTAAACAGTAGGTTAAACAACCCACAAAATCAAGTTCATGATTCCCGGCTCCAAAAACAATCAATCTATGTGTGGTCAATTTGTGCAACGCTTCCAACACAGACATTTGATCAGCAATGTTATCCGATGGTCTTGATAACAAAAACAAGATACTCCTATTCAGACAATGATAAAGACATTCAAACATAATATTTCCAGAGTGTCTCTTTGCTTGACCAATGAGTTTTATAATGAAATCATAAACTTCATGTGGGTCTTTATTCAAAGATGTCTGCCACAATTTGTCTACTATCCGTGCTGTTAGATAGAAAACATTTGGAGCCACGTGTTGCACATGCGCATTCGCTAATGGTACGATTGGTATTGCAGCTTGATCACCAACTAGCATATCCGCAGCTAGTAAATGATCCATGAGTGTAACCAATATTTCAGTTTGATAAGCACTCTGCTGTGCAACTGTAGCATTTTCCGGGTAGGCATCTAACACTAAATCAATCACAGGTGATGTTTTTCCTGTTACATTCAAACTGAGTGAATCCACAACAATCACCCGGATAAAATCAACTATAAATTGTCTTGCTGGGTGATTAGTTAGGTTAAACTCTTCAGTTGGTGATTGTGGTACAAATACTGTTTCGTTTTCTTCGCCTGGTGTGGATGCCCCACTACTGTAGGTACTTTCTTGTGAGCTAGCTTGAGATGGGAATAGTACACTTGCCAGAGCTCCCAGGACTTCAGCAGACATAAAAATCGGCATGAATTCTGGTAAATTGTGATATAGTTGAAACAACACTTGGATTATATTGATAGAGTGGTTTTTTAACCAATCTGGTAGGGCGCTATTCTCCATGTGGACTATTGCACGTGCCATACCAAGTAAAACAACAACAGCATCCATACAAACGTTGACTTTAGGTGCAACACTGCTCACAGGTTGATTATTCACAGACGTACCCCATAAAAAGGCCCAAACTGAATCCAGATCGAATTTTGTATCACCCGGTAACAATCTCGCGGGTTGACCCATCATTAAACCAGTTAGAAGGAAGTAAATCTCCGGAACTTCTAGATGTTGTGGTAAAAGCCATCCTAAATGCTGAAAACCTGGTATCTGTAGAGTATCAGACTTAGAATCTGTGTTGTGAGAATTAATAGGTCCTCCCAACATAAGCGACATTTTATTCTGTGTGACTTGATCGGTAAATCTCAACCATCCTCCGTTAAAGGTACCATCTCTGAATCTATTCAAAAACGTAGGTGTAGAACACATCACTACCAATATTCTCATTCCCAAGATAACAGTAGTACTATGAAGGTGACTTTGGAGGAATAGTAACACCCAATCAAAACCCAGACATTTACTGAGTTCATCACACAACATTAAAGTCACTGCGTTGCGATTGGTGAACAACAATGCATGAACCAGGGACAAACAACGATTTCTGAGTAGGATATGTTCACCTTGTCCTTCTCTTTCTGTGTCACCTTCAATCAACTGAAGGTGTTTCTCTGAGGTATTACTTGATGGTAAGGTCGAAGCAATGAATTGTCCCATGAATAACAAATCCATTTGTCTGGGTTGTCCAGTTAGGAGGACAGAAAGCAACGAAAACAACACCTGACGTGTTGCGGCATGTTTAACATCCGGCATTATGTGTAACAATTTGGTCACCAGTTGTAAATCACGCATTATCCAAGTATTATTACGTTTTTCACTTGATTCAGTAGCTAATTCTAGTAGGTGCTCCAAATGAGATCTTAACAACTCACCAGGAGCTTCACTCCATACTTCTAAGTCACAGAGAAGGTCTTGGAACGCTGTTAAATTCGGTATGGCGGATGTTTCCCGACCACTATCAACAGTCCCCACTAGACTAAATGCTAGGTGAAGTATATGTGAGTTTAATAAGGGTCTTTTACGTCTTAATAACATCGCAAGGGTTTGATAACCACGTTTACGGTCCATTTCTCCTTGTGCTGCTTTGTTACTCCGTACAACACAAACCAGAGCTTTGACAGCAGCGTATAAAGTCTCCACATCTTGGGCCATAGCTATCAGTCCCAGGAGAACTGCACAACCTCCCACGGTATTCACTACACTTGCTACCGGCCTGGGACAAAACACTCGAACCCCTAAATATCCTATAACCACTCCTCCAAGAGACCTAGAAGGTCCTGCTAGATGTCCAGCACTGTTGTGTAAGATTCTTATAGGGGTAGCATTCTCATGACTTGACATTCCAAGTTGTTTCGCTATGGATTTATTGTCTGTACGACTGTAAACCTTCCGGATTTTGCTCAGTGTGAGTTGATTAACTGCTTTTGCATTCAATCCGAAGATAACCTTCTCTTCATTGACAAGTTGCATTGGTTCAAGTGTGGGTGTATTAATATTCGGTGCTTGGAAAGAGCCCATATAATGTGGTCCTAGTTGGTATATGTGATGGACAATCGTAGGGGTTAATACTTCTTCTAACAGATGACATGGTCCCTGTTTCCAGCAGAGTTTTGAATATCGCCGCCATGCGGGTGGTGTACCAATGAATCCGTAAATTGAAGATGCTACTGTTAAATTAGCACTACCCCCACCTGGATTCTGTGAGATATAGTGTAGTTTTTGTGTGTGCATGTGTTGGCCATCCAGGTATAGACTGAATGAAGAGTTTTTTAATACTGCGCGGTTTAGAACTACAACCAGGTGGTGCCATTGTCCTTCTTGGAGGATATCTGGACACCAGACACGGGCGCCATATTCTCCGGTACCTTCTGGTTCCCATTCACCTATTTCTAAACAAAAACAAAATAAAATTTAAAAATTTGTTTTGATATTTTCTGATAACTTACGGTTTGGAATGTGGGTTTCCTGAGTGGAGACAATAATAGCTTTATCCCTAGCTGATAAAACAATTGACAAACACACCAGGTGATCATCCCTGGTACTATTTAAATTCCTCACTAAGGTTAACAATCTAACACAATGAGGATCCGTCCGGGGATCTGAAAATTTATCCACACAGATCCAGCTTGAAAAGGATAAACCAGTCTGTGGTGGGAATATTCTATCCCCAGCCCCGATTCCTCCCAGGACTGTGTTATCAATACTAACAACACTCGGTGTATTCAATGATTGAGGTGCAATACTGGGTAAATACAAACATCCGAAACCCTCGGCGCTCATATCAAACTCCACGAATGGCGGAAGTGTACAGATACTCTGCGCTCGGAAATCCTTCGGGGTTGTCATGGATACAATCGTTTTGATTCTTGTTAGTGGCACTGGACCACCTCCAGCATCACTCGATTCCAATGGAATGCAATTCAAAGGACTACCAAGTCTCAAAAACTTTCTTAAATCAATCGGTTCTAATGCCTGCGCAGCCAAACGTTCCAACATGTATTGCAGGGGGCTGTGCAGTGGGTGGTCTTCATTCTGAAGTGGAGCTGATCCAATGGTCAACAGGGTCGAAACAAAACCACTATCGCACATTATCTGTTGATTTCGTTCACTGCGCACCAAAGATTTGATAATCTCAGCGACATAAAACTGTAGTGCTAGAGTATGTTGTACATCCACGCTTTTTATGCACGGGAGAAGTTGTAACATGGCGACTACAACTCCGGGATGTACAATTATCGGGTCCGGTGTAGGTGGGTTCAGATTGAGTGAGTTTACTGCTGATCGTTTGCCGCAGTTGTTGATATTCGGTTCGGTTGATGGCTGACGTGATAACGAAGGTGATTTTGTCAATTGACCAGCGTTTATGTGAGGTTTATCGAAGAGATCCAAAGCTACATCGTACAACAATCGATAAACAACAGCAACATGTCCCAAATTAGCAGGAGTATCATCAGGAATCCTAAAAATTAATTAATAAAAACAATTTTTCACTAAAAATGAATTTAAACAATTACTGTGGGTTTAAAACATTTCCTATGAAGATGTTATGAAAAACATCCTGTAGTTTCAACTCGGGTGGACCTGAGCATGAAGTTCCCTCATGAATTTCATCGAGTTGTTCAACTTTTTCAATTGTAAAACAACCGAGTAGTCTGAGTGTATCACAAAGCGTCGTATTGCAGATTTCATGATGGAAAAACTTTGCATTCGCCGGTTCGAACCTCATCGCTGTGCTGATAGTGTAAAACACAACACTCAAAAGTGTTGGTATCTCAATCGGCAGATTGTTTTCATGTAGTTTGTTCTCCAAAGCGACGAGGACACTCGTGACGTAGATGAAACCATTCACCTTGCGGAAAACGGTCCGCGTCCGGTGTGATTCACGCAGACAGAGAAGCAGTGCTCTTAGGATATCGATTTTCACCTGTAACTGATCCCTTGGAGCGGAATGAAGTGTAGATAACAGTTGCGACATGTCATCGTCACCTCCGTTCGTCAATACTAATTCTTTTATTATTCCTGTTTGAGAAACAAGCATGAATTAATATTTTTCTTAATTTTTTACGAGTTTAAATCTTACCCAAAGCACTTTGTCGACATTCAATGTAATTTACAAGTCCATGGACACATTTCGCACCTCCACATTCACGCAAAACATTCGCATTTGCTTGATTTCCGGCTAGAAGCATCGTTAAAGTCTCAATAACCATGCTACCTAGTTTTTCCTGACCATTCGGAATGTGAAAGTCTTTATTTTTCTCCTGTGCAATGCGTCTGGCTTCCAAAAGATTGGCGTATTGATTCAAACAAGTGACAAACACCTCCAACATACCGACTTCTCGATAAACATCCTTGAATATCACATTGTGCTTCAACACATTGATCAACGTCTGCACACATTTAATGCTACAATCCGCATAATTCGTACTGTGTGTCTTCAGAAAGATCGACATTGATATTAGTTCCTTGCACGGTACAAAATTCAATTCAAACACTAGAAACTCAATCAATTCGAATAACTTCAATTGAATCTCGGGTGGTTTGTGATGTACTTTTTCTATAAATTGACTGAGCGTGTTTTGATTCTCGAGGATGAAATAATTCGCGTTGTCTGAGTGATACACACTGCTAATGGCGTCCAGAATCGTCCCGCAGAGTATCGGCGACGTTGATTTGAGGAAAGTATTTTGTAAAACGTGGAATGCTTGAATATTCCGCACGCTTATCCCACGTCCCGAGGGTTGTGGAAGTGAGAATCCTTGCATTTGAAACAGACTACTCGTCGAGGCTTGTGAAGGTTTCAGTTCCATAAATCCACACATACAGAGCGATGTCACCATAAGCACAAGATTGCGAATCGATTCTTGTGCATCGGGTGACTTTTCATTCTCAAGTTTAAGCAGGAAATCGCTAAGGAAGAGATAACTCTGCGCTTGCCGGAAGTCATCAAGCAGCGTGGCACTCACATCGCTTGAATCCTTGAGGAAACAAAAGACTGTCGCGAACATCTCGACCAATTCCAACGGTGCCACATCGGGCATCCGTTGCATATTGTCCATACACACACCGACGCACCGTTTCGCTGGAAATAATTTCGATTGATTGCACAATATATTCACAAGCAATTATTAAAAATAAAAAAAAAACACCAAAAGCCAAAAACATGCACAAAACAAACCAAAATGATTGCAAACCAGTGTGATATGTGTGTGTGTATTGTGTAAACATTAGTTTATTAAAATATTTGTTAATAAAAAAACACCCATATAAAAATATGTACAGAAAAAAAAGCAGTAATGAGTGAAATATGTGAAAAAAAAACAGTGCATAAACAATTGTGCCTTGCGTGGGCTTACAATGAATGTAGCTGACGACTGGTGGTGATAAGCCGTGCCTGGAGAGTGTCATCAACACCTCGGCGGCACTTTTACGCCACATGATGTTATGCTGTGGGCATTGCGACGTTATCGCTAAGAAAAGCAACGTCAGATCGTCTTTTCTCGCTAATTCCTCAGCTGGTTTCCGATGACTGCATAATCTTATTAACAACTGCAAACAAAACAAGCAGAAATTCATTAATGTCAGCGGATTTTTTGTCGAATGAAACATGATCCACAGAATTCCACAACAAATTCCGTTTCATAAATAAATATGACATGATTTTGACCGCTATTAAAATGAAATTAAATATCAATTACCTGTACGAATATTTTCTGCAGAAGAATACGTCGTTCTCGTGGCGTAAAATCACTGTTTGTGTCTTTTTTATTGGCGTCCTCTTCGTTGACCTCTGGCAAGTCAAAAAATAGATACAAACACTTGACCAGCGTGCTAGGTACAGACACTTCGGACATGACTTGTACTAACGTCGAATCTCCAGCTGCTAATAAATTTAATGTACTTAACAACATCCAGCCATTACTGCTTTCTTCACAGTTCTCAATCTCGAGGAATTTCGTAATCGCACAACTTGCGGTCTCGGTGCTTTGATTCGACGCACGTTTACGGATTTCGTTCACCATGAGCAGCGAAACTTGATGGCAAAACGCGAGAATGTCCCAGAATTTCTCATTCATATCACAACTTCGACTAGATCCAAAAACCTGTAAATATTTGATGATTTTACGTGTTTTTTAATGAAAATTTTGGGTAAAATTAACCTTGCAGAATAAGGGTAACATGTTGTAGAGTTTATCGTCTTTTTCGGCATCGCTGAGCGGATGCGATGGGTGTGTGTATTCTGAAAAGAGTTTCTTCAAATGTTGCAGCCCTAATTGGGTGTGGGGAGAGTCTGGAGGGCCGTCGGTGGATTCAGTGGAGGCGGACGCCGCGCTGGCCATTCCGCCTCTCAGTTTCCTCATGATATTCATCTTTTAGAATTCTTAATCTCACTCAATTTGCATCTAAAACACACGAAAATAATCGATTAATATTAAACAACGCCACGAAATCAAAGCGAATCAACCTACGTTTATGTTTGTTTATAAACAAATAAATAACGTAAATAAACCAGTGTAAAGCAGCGAATTGTCAATTTTGGTTGCCTGTGCGCAGCGTAGGAGAACATTGATTGATTTTGAGCGAGCGTTCTAGTTACACTTTTAACACTCTCACGAAACGTTTGCTCGATGTGTAATGATTGAAATGTGAGCGTACGTACCTAGCGAGTGTTTGCAGGCGCACGCTGATTTTATTGTCGCTGGCATTGCAATTACGCCCATTATGCTGGTGTTTTGTGTTTTGCTAATGGAACGAGCGTACCGACAGCTGACGATGAAAACACGACGCTCTCGACGATCCAGCGAGTGAACGACGCCGTCGCGAGCAATTGCAACGTCGCAATCATCGCTTTTACTTGCGCACTTGCTACAACATGGAAAACGCATGTGCGCGTCGTCGTTTTTATTTATCGAATTATTATTAGCATCATCCAGCGTTTAAACTTTATAAAAACCACAAAAATCCACACATTTGACGTAGTTTGACACATTTTTCATGTCCATATGATTTACATAGAGTTTCTGGTGACGCCATGTTTTTTTTATCCTCATCTATAAAAACGTTGCTTAAAAACAATATTTCTTATATATTTCCACAGTTATTTACTTGAATTTCATTATAATCTTGTTTTCTTATATTCCATCATCGTATTTTCTGAAATATCTTGTGATATTTATAATTTATGTAATTATTACTTCACCCGGAAGTTTTTTCCCATTGTTTCAATGTATAACAATCATAAACATTACAAAAACACACATTTATGATACTATATAAATCGCCGATGTATTTCCGTGGTAAACAAAATGGCGGCAACACTTTTATCACTATTGGGGCTGGTATCACCTCCGGATACCTGCCCAATCACACAAAACAATTTCTATCCCACTTGTAGTGATTATTTGAGTAGAACCTATGATTTTATTATTGTTGGTGGTGGTACTGCCGGTTGTGTACTCGCGAATCGTCTAACTGAAGACCCGGGAATTCAAGTTTTGCTTCTGGAAGATGGGGATTACCCTTCGAGGGAAACAGAAGTTTGTTTAACATATTTTATTGTTATTATCTGTTAGAAAGGTAAAACATTTCAGATTCCATTGAATTTTATATTTTTACAAGAAACCGATGAAGATTGGGCTTTCAAAGCTGAACAACCTGGTTATTTCAAAGGGGAAGCCTATCAGGTGAACCCATGGCCGCAGGGACACGCCCTAGGTGGTAGTAGTAGTATCAACGCAATGATTTACGCACCAGGTTTCCCAGTTGATTATGATTACTGGGCGGAGCTCACCCAGGACCCAATCTGGTCCTGGGATAACATGCAATTCTCTTTTGACAGACTCCATGAGAATGTTAAAACAACCCAGTATAGAAGTTATGTCACAGCGAGGACATTAATAGGTCTAGGAGCTTTGGAACTTGGAATACCGGTTAATGAAGATGATATGTTTGGTTATAATGACCACCCGACTACTATCTATGAAGATACAAGATTCTCCATGGCCGAAGCTTACCTTAGACCTATAAAAGATAAGAAAAATCTTTGTGTGATGGTCAAACGTAGAGTGAACAAGATTATAATTGAAGGTACCACTGCTGTTGGGGTAGAAGTACAAGATCCCAAAGGTGTGGTGGTGATTAAACCAAAACGGGAGATTATTATCACAGCTGGTGCTATAAACTCTCCGAAATTATTGATGTTGAGCGGGATAGGTCCCCAGGACCATTTGAAGGAACTTGGTATTCCTGTTTATGCTGACCTACCAGTTGGGAAATATTTAGAGGATCATTTAATTGTTCCTATCATAGCTACCATTTTTGATATTCCTATGCCTCCGTATAATATCATGAGAGATGCGTTTTGTGCAACTGGTACCCTTTTGAACAACATTGAATTGGCGAATTTTATCGGTTTCTTCAACACTAAAGGAAAAAGAGATAAACCTGATATTGAATTTATTCATTTTGAGTTCCTCACGCAGGATCCAACTTTCCTGGAGGCTTTCTTTGAGAAATTTGGAATTATTGAAGAGTTTGCTAGTCAACTTCGTGAGGCTAATCAATTGCATAGTCTTATATTGTTTTTGCCTACATTGTTACACCCTGTATCACGTGGAGAAATGTTTCTTCAAGATTTAGACCCGAAAACACCCCCTAGATTATTCCCGCATTATTTTGACGAAGGTGATGATGCTCAGGTGGTTATTGATTCGATCAATCAGATCGTTAAACCTTTATTATCTACTACTCCATTTATTGCAAGTGATTTGTTTCGGTTTGAAATTCCGGAATGTGATGAGTTCGAATACGAGTCCGATAAGTATTGGAGGTGTTATTTTACGTATCTGGCAGGGACTATTTATCACCCTGCAGGGACGTGTAGGATGGGTTTTGATAGAGCTACGTCAGTGGTGGATTCCAGATTAAGGGTGTGGGGGATAAAGAATTTAAGGGTTGCTGATTCCAGTACTATTCCTGCTTTGGTCAGTGGGCATAGTAATTTGCCTACTTGTGCATTGGCTGAGAATGCTGCTGATATTATTAAAGTAGATAATGATATTTAAATAATTATTTTTAAATTGTTTAAAATAAATGAAATTTATCTTTCTTATTATTTTATTTTTCTCGTGTTTTAAATATTTTTATTGAGAAAGTACATTCTAGCGGCATCTAGGTTTAAAGTATTGCATTTTTAGGTAAACATGCTAGTTGTTTAGATAGTGTGATGCACGCGCAACTTTGTGTCCGTGTGACACACGTGCACGGGTGCCACTCCATAACAAGTCTGACCACTCACTGACTTAGGCATACATTTTTACATGCGTGTCTGTGCGCCACACTCTACGAAACACTCTATATTTTTAGGAGGTATGTTCAAGTCACCTTAGAGGTCGCAGCGATACAATTCTAAGTAAAATAGTCGCACGATAAAGATTAGTGTGCTTGCACCTCGCGTTTCGTGCGGCGTGCCGCGTTCTTTATTAAATTCGGTAAATCGCAATCTATTTGATTAACATTAATAACAATCGTCAATATTGACTGTTAATAGATTAGTTTTGTGTTTGACTAAGGATTTTTCTGTGGAATTTTTCTAAATGTGAATTTATTGTGTTTATTATGTTTAATCTCACGAGTGTTTCCGTGAGTGAGTTGCCGTCGGACGCTGACTGTCGATATGTTGTGATTTTCAATTGTTGTTATTATTAAAATTAATTTGTATTTGACATTGGACTTGTGCAAATCACTTTTGTCGTTAGAAGATATTCTTGTGCTTATGTACTACTTGGTAAATATTTTGATTTTATTAATTATAGCAATTATCCTAATGATGCGGATTTGTAAAACTAATCTTCTGTTTCTTCTTTATTTTAGGATCTACTTTCGTTTAGTTTACGATGTTCGAAGCGCATGTAAGTGAATAAATTAAATCTTTTATAGTATTTGTTTACTAAATGCAGTTGCAAGTTTATTTGCTTAATAATTACATTCATGCATAAAATGGAAATGGAATGAATATAATAAGGATTAAAAAGATAAATTTGTAATATACTGTTTAAATTATGCAATTTATTATTATAAATGAATACAATATTGACTTGTATTTATTATGTTTGTATTTAAATGCAAACGAAGTCAATTTCATTCGAGAATTATATTCGTTTTACACACGATGTGCTTATCTGAGTTTGCATGTAAACAAATTTTTTTTATTGCATTCGACGTGTGAAATGCAACGCGCAAAAGAGCCGTGTATAGTCGTTGCCTTCATGTATCATGCCATCGACGCGCTGCCTTCGGAATTCATATCTTATCTGATTCTGTCTTATCGCATCAGTTGTGGCGCGAATTCGCTCGCTATATTTGCTATGCTTGTTCTTTGAATGAATTGCGTATAGTTTCGTGCCGGTTACTAGTTAGTTCTGACGTGTTATTCGCAGCTGATTGTTTGGCACGTTGTGTTCTCTACTTATATTAATTCACAAACAATTGTATTTAATTTAAGCCGGGTGTATCTAAGATATTTGCTTAATTCATATTAAACAAACTCTTTCACGTCGATGGGTGGAAAATACAGATTCGCAAGATTCAATATTTTCAGCACATATTTCGACAATAAACAGTGTGTTTGGATGCACGATTGGATAACATTCTTAGCATTTGTATAAAATGTTCTAATTTAAATTCTCTTACTTTTAGTCACGTTTTTGGTCCTTTTAACCCACGAAATTAAATTATTTTAAAATCTTATCTAATGCAGAATTTTCCAATCTTTGATAACTGTCAATCCGTTGGTACTATCGCTTTTAGTTTAAAAGATATGCACTATTATCGTTTATTCACTCGAATATGTCAAGAACGTTAATTTTTCCTTGTTTATTTAGTTATATTGCAATTGATCGCAATTGTATAGTTGAGTCTCATTCGGTTTACTGTAGCAGAGTGTCGATAGAAGCGACTCGTGTTCTGGGCACCGTACGTGGATGATTGTATAGCTGACTCCCATTTGCCCATTTTTTCTTATGAATAAAAATTTCATCTCTTATATATGTCTTTTAAATAGCTTATCTTATAGAAAATTAACCGTAGATTAAGAATTTGAAATCGGTTTATATATCTCTTTTAGTTTACGAGATATTCGCAATTGAAATAAATCGTCAAAAATGTCACTTTTTAGCACTTTTAGTCGCATTTTTCGACCTTTTACTGTAGGAAATATAATTATTTTATATTTTTATCTGATTGAGAATTTTCCAATCTATCATAATCAACAATTTGTTGCTAGCTATCTCTTTTAGTTTAAGAGATATGAATTTTTGAAAATCGTCGAAAAAAAGTATCAAGCACCCCCCCTTGGCAATTTTTTCTTAAGACTTAAAATTTCATCTCTCAGATTTCCCTTTTAACTATCCTATCTGATAGAGATTGGTCCGTAGATTAAGACGCTGCGATCAGATCTTATTTATCTCTTTTAGTTTACGAGATATTCGCGATTTAATAAAATGGGCAAAAATTGCAAAATGTCACTTTTTAGCACTTTTAGTCGCATTTTTCGACCTTTTACTGTAGGAAATATAATTATTTTATATTTTTATCTGATTGAGAATTTTCCAATCTATCATAATCAACAATTTGTTGCTAGCTATCTCTTTTAGTTTAAGAGATATGAATTTTTGAAAATCGTCGAAAAAAAGTATCAAGCACCCCCCCTTGGCAATTTTTTCTTAAGACTTAAAATTTCATCTCTCAGATTTCCCTTTTAACTATCCTATCTGATAGAGATTGGTCCGTAGATTAAGACGCTGCGATCAGATCTTATTTATCTCTTTTAGTTTACGAGATATTCGCGATTGAATAAAATGGGCAAAAATTGCAAAATGTCACTTTTTAGCACTTTTAGTCGCATTTTTCGACCTTTTACTGTAGGAAATATAATTATTTTATATTTTTATCTGATAGAGAATTTTCCAATCTTTCATAATCAACAATTCGTTGGTAGCTATCTCTTTTAGTTTAAGAGATATGAATTTTTGAAAATCGTCGAAAAAAAGTATCAAGCACCCCCCCTTGGCAATTTTTCTTAAGACTTAAAATTTCATCTCTCAGATTTCCCTTTTAACTATCCTATCTGATAGAGATTGGTCCGTAGATTAAGACGCTGCGATCAGATCTTATTTATCTCTTTTAGTTTACGAGATATTCGCGATTGAATAAAATGGGCAAAAATTGCAAAATGTCACTTTTTAGCACTTTTAGTCGCATTTTTCGACCTTTTACTGTAGGAAATATAATTATTTTATATTTTTATCTGATAGAGAATTTTCCAATCTTTCATAATCAACAATTCGTTGGTAGCTATCTCTTTTAGTTTAAGAGATATGAATTTTTGAAAATCGTCGAAAAAAAGTATCAAGCACCCCCCCTTGGCAATTTTTTCTTAAGACTTAAAATTTCATCTCTCAGATTTCCCTTTTAACTATCCTATCTGATAGAGATTGGTCCGTAGATTAAGACGCTGCGATCAGATCTTATTTATCTCTTTTAGTTTACGAGATATTCGCGATTGAATAAAATGGGCAAAAATTGCAAAATGTCACTTTTTAGCACTTTTAGTCGCGTTTTTCGACCTTTTACTGTAGGAAATATAATTATTTTATATTTTTATCTGATAGAGAATTTTCCAATCTTTCATAATCAACAATTCGTTGGTAGCTATCTCTTTTAGTTTAAGAGATATGAATTTTTGAAAATCGTCGAAAAAAAGTATCAAGCACCCCCTTGGCAATTTTTCTTAAGACTTAAAATTTCATCTCTCAGATTTCCTTTTAACTATCCTATCTGATAGAGATTGGTCCGTAGATTAAGACGCTGCGATCAGATCTTATTTATCTCTTTTAGTTTACGAGATATTCGCGATTGAATAAAATGGGCAAAAATTGCAAAATGTCACTTTTAGCACTTTTAGTCGCGTTTTCGACCTTTTACTGTAGGAAATATAATTATTTTATATTTTTATCTGATAGAGAATTTTCCAATCTTTCATAATCAAGAATTCGTTGGCAGCTATCTCTTTTAGTTTAAGAGATATGAATTTTTGAAAATCGTCGAAAAAAGTATCAAGCACCCCCTTGGCAATTATTTCTTAAGGATTAAAATTTCATCTCTCAGATTTCCCTTTTAACTATCCTATCTGATAGAGATTGGTCCGTAGATTAAGACGCTGCGATCAGATCTTATTTATCTCTTTTAGTTTACGAGATATTCGCGATTGAATAAAATGGGCAAAAATTGCAAAATGTCACTTTTTAGCACTTTTAGTCGCGTTTTTCGACCTTTTACTGTAGGAAATATAATTATTTTATATTTTTATCTGATAGAGAATTTTCCAATCTTTCATAATCAAGAATTCGTTGGCAGCTATCTCTTTTAGTTTAAGAGATATGAATTTTTGAAAATTGTCCAAAAAAAAGTATCAAGCACCCCCCCCCTTGGCAATTTTTTCTTAAGGATTAAAATTTCATCTCTCAGATTTCCCTTTTAACTATCCTATCTGATAGAGATTGGTCCGTAGATTAAGACGCTGCGATCAGATCTTATTTATCTCTTTTAGTTTACGAGATATTCGCGATTGAATAAAATAGGCAAAAATTGCAAAATGTCACTTTTTAGCACTTTTAGTCGCGTTTTCGACCTTTTACTGTAGGAAATATAATTATTTTATATTTTTATCTGATAGAGAATTTTCCAGTCTTTCATAATCAACAATTCGTTGGTAGCTATCTCTTTTAGTTTAAGAGATATGAATTTTTGAAAATCGTCGAAAAAAAGTATCAAGCACCCCCTTGGCAATTTTTCTTAAGACTTAAAATTTCATCTCTCAGATTTCCTTTTAACTATCCTATCTGATAGAGATTGGTCCGTAGATTAAGACGCTGCGATCAGATCTTATTTATCTCTTTTAGTTTACGAGATATTCGCGATTGAATAAAATAGGCAAAAATTGCAAAATGTCACTTTTTAGCACTTTTAGTCGCGTTTTTCGACCTTTTACTGTAGGAAATATAATTATTTTATATTTTTATCTGATAGAGAATTTTCCAATCTTTCATAATCAACAATTCGTTGGTAGCTATCTCTTTTAGTTTAAGAGATATGAATTTTTGAAAATCGTCGAAAAAAGTATCAAGCACCCCCTTGGCAATTTTTCTTAAGACTTAAAATTTCATCTCTCAGATTTCCTTTTAACTATCCTATCTGATAGAGATTGGTCCGTAGATTAAGACGCTGCGATCAGATCTTATTTATCTCTTTTAGTTTACGAGATATTCGCGATTGAATAAAATGGGCAAAAATTGCAAAATGTCACTTTTTAGCACTTTTAGTCGCATTTTTCGACCTTTACTGTAGGAAATATAATTATTTTATATTTTTATCTGATAGAGATTTTTCCAATCTTTCATAATCAACAATTCGTTGGTAGCTATCTCTTTTAGTTTAAGAGATATGAATTTTTGAAAATCGTCGAAAAAAAGTATCAAGCACCCCCCCTTGGCAATTTTTTCTTAAGACTTAAAATTTCATCTCTCAGATTTCCCTTTTAACTATCCTATCTGATAGAGATTGGTCCGTAGATTAAGACGCTGCGATCAGATCTTATTTATCTCTTTTAGTTTACGAGATATTCGCAATTGAATAAAATGGGCAAGAATTGCAAAATGTCACTTTTTAGCACTTTTAGTCGCATTTTTCGACCTTTTACTGTAGGAAATATAATTATTTTATATTTTTATCTGATTGAGAATTTTCCAATCTTTCATAATCAACAATTCGTTGGTAGCTATCTCTTTTAGTTTAAGAGATATGAATTTTTGAAAATCGTCGAAAAAAAGTATCAAGCACCCCCCCTTGGCAATTTTTTCTTAAGACTTAAAATTTCATCTCTCAGATTTCCCTTTTAACTATCCTATCTGATAGAGATTGGTCCGTAGATTAAGACGCTGCGATCAGATCTTATTTATCTCTTTTAGTTTACGAGATATTCGCGATTTAATAAAATGGGCAAAAATTGCAAAATGTCACTTTTTAGCACTTTTAGTCGCATTTTTCGACCTTTTACTGTAGGAAATATAATTATTTTATATTTTTATCTGATTGAGAATTTTCCAATCTATCATAATCAACAATTTGTTGCTAGCTATCTCTTTTAGTTTAAGAGATATGAATTTTTGAAAATCGTCGAAAAAAAGTATCAAGCACCCCCCCTTGGCAATTTTTTCTTAAGACTTAAAATTTCATCTCTCAGATTTCCCTTTTAACTATCCTATCTGATAGAGATTGGTCCGTAGATTAAGACGCTGCGATCAGATCTTATTTATCTCTTTTAGTTTACGAGATATTCGCGATTTAATAAAATGGGCAAAAATTGCAAAATGTCACTTTTTAGCACTTTTAGTCGCATTTTTCGACCTTTTACTGTAGGAAATATAATTATTTTATATTTTTATCTGATTGAGAATTTTCCAATCTTTCATAATCAACAATTCGTTGGTAGCTATCTCTTTTAGTTTAAGAGATATGAATTTTTGAAAATCGTCGAAAAAAAGTATCAAGCACGCCACACTTTTTGAAACGCTTTGTATTTTCTGGAGGTACAATAAAGTATTCTCAGGTAGCGCAACGATGCACGTTTTAACTAAAAATATTCCTGCGACTGAAAGTCGACGTGCACAGTTGTGATGCCGACACGCAGCTCTTACTTCGTGCGGCAGATAAGAATACTCCATCGAGTATTTGTGTTTCGCGTTGTAAATTCGGCATATTGCGTTATATTTTATTGAATTTAGTGTTAATTGCCGTGTTTGGTCATTCGGTAAATATTTATTACCTATGTAATCGGAATTCAATATTTTGTGTGTTTATTACATTTTCGCGTGGATTTCTGATCGGTTGTCGTCGGACGCCGGTCGGCCGACTTTGTGTGTGATTATAAATAATATTTTGGACTTGTGCGAATCATTCTTGCAACTAGAAAATTGATATCTTTTGCGGAAATCTTTGCTTCAATAAATGCTTCAATAAAACTCAAATCATAAATCATAATTTCATGATTTAAATTTTAGCTCACTAGCATGAACTAAAAATCATAAAATAGAATTGTATTAGTTTTGAATCATATCAGCGTTTGTGTATAAACCACTTTCTTATCGCATTCGCCGTGCGAGATGCTACGCGTAAGATTCTCGTCACGCTGTCGCATTCGGCACATTTTAGTTTAGTTCTTATCACAGGTACCGTGTCTATTGCAATTCGTGCACAAGGTCGAGTGCCATCGACGCGCCGCCGGCTTTGCGCATCTATTGCTTTTACCTGCCGGGTCATCAATCGACTTAGTCGTAATATGCATCTGCAGTTTTTTCTTAATAAGTAATTGTGCGTTTAATGTGCATAAATGTTTTTTTGCTTGCTTTTGATGTTTATATTTCAAATTACAATGTTGTTACGGTTATTGTGGGACGTGGTCGGTCGCTAGATCAATCGGAAATCTATTCGTGCTTGAGTAAGTTACAGCACAGAAAGTTTATTTTCTCCCATGTGTGAACATAATATTATCATATTGTATGAAATGTTTTTGTTTTAACTTATGTTTTCTTTTAATTACAGCACTTGTTGTACCCTTGCAATCCGATGAGCGCGCATTGGTAAGTTTATAATTCCGTTATATTGAAAGTAGTGTGTATGCCCCGTAGTACTCGTTGCGCTAGGAATTGTAGTTTTTTTAGTATAGCATGCGAACAGGATGTGATAATAAGTTTAGAATAATTTTCCCAGATGCGGAATTTAATTCTGTATCACCCTGTATTTGAATTTATTACGAGAAAATTCCGTAACGCAAGTTATATTGAAAGTTGTGTGTATGCGCCGTAGTACTCGTTGCGCTAGGAATTGTAGTTTTTTTAGTATAGCATGCGAACAGGGTGTGATAATAAGTTTAGAATAATTTTCCCAGGTGCGGAATTTAATTCTGTATCACCCTATATTCGAATTTATTGCGAGAAAATTCCGTAACCAAAAAGCTGTTAGTTCCTGATATTTTTTCTTGACCTGAGAATTTTCTTTTTAAATATTGTCATTTTTTTGACAACACTCTGTAAATTTGTTTTCTTTGATATCCAATCAACCCTTGACCAATTTTCTGTGTTCGAGTGTTTTCTTTCTTAAACTTTAGATTTCCTTTTTGTAACGCCCTGTATAACAATTTTCCATTTTGCAAAAGATGTGTTAAGTTTATTGTTGCAAGTTTGCTTTGGAAGTATGATTTTTTGGTAATGTTGGAATATGCGTCGTTATAACACCGGCAAAATAACAAAATTAATCAGGGCTATCCAATACTTTTATTATTGTATAAAGATAAAGTCTTAATGTGTGGTATACAATAGGAGCATTATTGTACGAATGAGTCAAAGGTTTGGCTTTAAGTTTTTGCAACGTTTTAAGTTAGTTCGATTAAGAACTTGTAAGAGAGCGGTATTCTTTTCGGTGCAGCCAAGTTAAATAAAATATTAAAGCGAAAATCTTTCTAATTATTTAAATACCAATCCATAACTTCTAATAGGTAACAACCTGTATATTAGATTTCCTGACAGTATGTAGTAAATCGCCTTTATTTGTGAGTTTTGTTTAAAACTTGTGATTTTCCTTTTGGAACACCCTGTATATTCGCTTTTTTTCCTTCAGCTTTGGTTTTAGGGCTTTCTTTTTGAACTCTAATTTATTTGTAACACCCTGTTTATTAGTTTTTCCCGGAGCATCGAGTGAAAACGAGCAATATTTGTAGTGTTTAAATGTTTTCCTTTTTGTTGGTTGAATTTTCTATTTGTGACACCTTGTATAATCGTTATCCTTCACATCCCTGAAAATTTTGCTTTGACTGTTATTAGAATTTTACTTGTTGTTCTTTGAATTTTCTTTTTGTAACGCCCTGTATATTTATTTCCCAGAGTAACGGTGAAAAACGAGCGATATTTAAGTATTTAGATTTTTTTCCTGCCTGCACTTATTTTTTTCTTTAGTAACACCCTGTATATTTATTTCCATTTTCAATCATCTAGAAAATGGGCTATTTGCTAATTTCTTTGTCCCGTTAGAGCTGTACGAAGTGGTACTTGCCTATATGTGCGCGGCTAACCAGGTCGTAAGTCTTGTTTCAATATGGCTACATGTATTTTGTTGACTTGTAAAATCAAAACTTGTATTCTAGTATTAATAAAGAAATAGTAAGATATATTGACTTCTTTGATTTGTGTGTTCGCCTTCTTCATTTCAGGAAGAGTTCCCTCTCTCAGGGGATGATCCCCTCTATAAAAATTGTTAAGGTACCCTGTATGATTTGTGTACTCCTTCTCTCATTTCAGGTACAGGTCAGAACATGTAAGAATATTTTTAAGTGTCCCCTCTCTTGAGGCGACTTAAAAATTAGAAATATTTTTACAAGTCCTTAAAAGGATATCCTTATAAGGAGTTCCCTTTCTCTGGGGGTGATCCCCCACCATAAAAATTGTTGATATGCCTGATAATTCCGGGGATGAAGCGCAGAGACATCGTAGCTGTAGGATGGGCCGGGAGCAATGGATGGACTGAAACAGTGGGCGATCGACCAGAGCGCCGGAGGCGCTCTGGGAGATCGACCGTAGACTGTCTTATAACGACACGTGCCAAAAAATTTAAAAATTCCGTCACCCCTATTCTCTTTTCTTCCTGTACTCTCACTTCTCTTCTTACTTCTCCTATTCGCTCCTGCTGCTCTCTCTACTTGCTCTTCCACCATCTTCTACTTATTCCTATTGTTGCTCCGTACTCTGCTTTTCAACTTATTTCTAACATTTGAATCTATATTTTCTTGTGGTTTGCAACCCACATTTCTTAAATTTCTTATTATTTAATAAAACTGCTTTCTACAACTGAGATTCGAACCATGAACCACGAATCTCTAGCATGCTAGCGTATGCACATGCCACCTGAGCCACCGAGCTCTCATATCAAATCCCATTCGTTTCAGGTATAAATGTTGCAACTTTATTCATGTTTTTAAAAAGAACAAGAATTATGTTTCGTCACGCACACATGTAACTTAAACCAAATGTTATTTTTGTACGATTCCTGAAAACAACAAAGAGGATACCAAAATAAATAAGCGTTCATGTATTATATTAAATTATCTTTTATTGGAATTCATACAATCAAGAAAGTACTTTGTAATTGTAATTGCTTGGCCAGTTTAATTCACGGTAAATGGTTTCACTACACAATAAATAAAAACAAATAAATATTAAAATAAATGAATACGTTAGTTGTAATTTGCATTAACGTCATTCACTTAATTGTCATTCCGCTAGCAACAGACTTTTCATATAATTTCATAGTAAGAAATGTTGCTTATTTGAACTAATTAACCGTTGAATAAATAATTAATAATACCAATTCGACATATTATCAAGGGGACGGTATCCGACGGCAGCCACAAATATTAGGATAAGTCACTCAATATCCGATTCTATGCGCGACAATTCAATAACTGTAAGCCACACATCCTCAAATTCATTGTCTACTAATATCGACGTGAGTGATATACTCACAAACAAAACACGTGCTCACGACACCACCGCGCACGACCGACTAAGGAGGAAAGAGAATTGTCAGCCGGCGTAAACATTTAGTTGGGGACACCAGGTAGATAATTGAAGTATTATATACTTTTATTATTTATGTATAGGTATATCAATGTCAATTCAGAATTTTATTTTGAATCAGTGAAACAATTGAAAAAGTGCAAACAAGTAAAGAGAAATGCGAGAACATGCACCTTGATGCAAAATAAATTTTTGCGTTTTGGTATATCCAATAAGTTGTATTGACCTTAATTATGCACATTGCAGAACCGATGAAATACGCGTATAATACAAAAGAATACGGCGACCGACGGAACATCACTCACGCTTAGCCTCTGAGTATGTACAATCCGCGTGGTAAGAACGCCGCACATCATTAGCGCAAATGTGCGTGCAGATCACCTGACAATCGCGTGGCGATCGTACAAGAATTGTACGAGATAAGAAAAACAAGTTTGTTTGTAAACACTGACACTTTCAATGTGGTAGTGCAGAACATGAATCGAATTGTACTCGTACTATGCATGGAATTATTAATTTCGATTAAATTTTAAATCGGAAACCTGATAGATAATTAAATTCTACATCTTTTTTGATAACATAACCGTTTAGACCCTCTTTAAAATTTTAGAGAAAAATGCATTCGTTTTTCGTAGACCTTCTTGTTCTTGACATAATCGCCAAAAATTCGTCACTGTTCTTCGACCGAAAAACATTTTAACAAAATAGTTCGACCCTCTTCCTTGACCGAAAAAATTAAGTAAAAAGTGCGACCCTGTTTTTCGACCGAAAAAATTTTAACAAAAGAATTCGAACAAAAATTTTAAGTGAAAAAGATCGACCCTGTTTTTCGACCGAAAAAATTTTAAAAAATTCGAACGAAAAATTTTAAGTAAAAAGTTTGGTCCTGTTTTTCTACCAAAAAATGTTAACAAAAAATTTGAACGAAAAATTTTAAGTAAAATGTTCGACCCTGTTTTCCGACCGAAAAAAATTTAACAAAAAAATTCGAATAAAAAATTTTAAGTAACAAAGTTCGATCGAAAAAATTTTAACAAAAAAATTCGACCGAAAAAATTTAAAAAAATTCGACCAAAAAATTAAGAAAAATATTCGACCCCGCTTTTCGACCAAAAAATTTTAACAAAAAAATTTTACTCTTCTTCGGCAATAACAAAAAAAGATCACCCCAATAACACAAACCGTTCCCGAGATATGAGCCAATTTCCACGACGAAACATGAAAAATATTAAAAATTGCCTAACTTTGAAGCCAATTTTGAGGGTGTTCCCGGCCCAATTTAGGGGGTGTCAAATGCGAATCGTTTAAAATGACTCTTCTTCTATAACACCAAAAAAGAACACCCCAATAATACAAACCGTTCCCGAGATATAAGCCAATTTCCACGACGAAACATGAAAAATATTAAAATTGCCTAATTTTGAAGCCAATTTTGAGGGTGTTGCCGGCCGAATTTAGGGGTGTCAAAGGCGATTCGTTTAAAATGACTCTTCTTCTACAACACAAAAAGAACATACCAATAACACACACCGTTCCCGAGATATGAGCCAATTTCCACGACGAAACATGAAAAATATTAAAATTGCTTAATTTTGAAGCGAATTTTGAGGGTGTTGCCGGCCCAATTTAGGGGTGTCAAATGCGAATCGTTTAAAATGACTCTTCTTCTACAACACCAAAAAGAACACCCCAATAATACAAACCGTTCCCGAGATATAAGACAATTTCCACGACAAAACTTGAAAAATATTAAAATTGCCCAAATTTGAAGCCAATTTTGAGGGTGTTGCCGCCGAATTTAGGGATGTCAAATGCGAATCGTTTAAAATGACTCTTCTTCTACAACACAAAAAAGAACATCCCAATAATACAAACCGTTCCCGAGATATAAGCCAATTTCCACGGCGAAACATGAAAAATATTAAAAATTCCCTAATTTTGAAGCCAATTTTGAGGGTGTTCCCGGCCGAATTCGGAGGTGTCAAATGCGTATTATTTAACATGACTCCTCTTCTACAATAACAAAAATGAACACCCCTATAACACTAAACGTTCCCGAAATATGAGCCAATTTCCAGTCGATTTTTGTGTGTTTGGGTGTCATTTTGAAGGATGCACAACACACGAACCAACCGACGGTATAAATAAACTGACCTCTTATCATGTAAGAATATAGCTGTGTCCGCGCAAAGAGAAATTAACATGCGCACGTCAAGGCTGAATAATATTCAGTGAATATGAACAACGTAAACATAAAGAGTACACTACTACACACCAATCTATGAACACGACGTATTGAAAATTAAAGAACTAAAATGCGAAATTTTGATACATCTAGCGCAGCATACTGACAATTGTTTTTATAAATAAAAATATTATTTACAAACATAAAAATAAAACTGAAATAAAATAATTATTTTAAACGATGTCATTGATAATAAATTGCAAAGCGTTCCCGAGATATGAGCAGATTTCCACTACGAAACATAAAAATTGTGATAATTGTCAAATTTTAAAACCGATTTAATTCCGAGGGCGGCAAAAGCGTGGCGTTAAAAATAAGTTATAATTTTATTATAAACTCACCAACATAACGCTCAATATCCGACGGCCGACGGAATCTCACTTGCAACAAATATGAACTGCACATTCCCGAAAGTTCCACTTGTTATAAATTGATAACAAAACATAAAACGTGTCCATTACCACTAAATACACTTAATTGTTGATCGAATCTACCGCAATGTTCCAAATTATTTACTATTTTAGCAAACAAGACAACTTGAAATACGCGTGTCGACTAACCGACCATACAACGACGACTAATACTACGTAGAGAACATTGTAGCGACGACTAGCGACGATTTTACGAATTGTGCACGATAAAAACTTGTTTGTATACACTGATAAATGTTCAAAATAGTCGCAGAGCTAAACACACGACAAGTAAGGTGATGTGCAAGTCCATAAACCACACATACACAGACAAAAGTTTAGTGTACGTACATAGAAAACACTTAAATCTAGCAAAACCGCACATCAAATGTTCGGATTTGCAATTCTTCTTTAATATTCATTAATTAAATATATATTTATTAACCTGAACAACGCTTTATTACAATTAATAGCAGCATAATCATTCTGAATCATATTTTCGCGTTTCACTACTGTCACAACTAACGTGCCGACTTAAACAGAGAAAAAAACATTTAATTATAATATAATACAAACACTGAAGAACAGGCGGTTATACATAACGTAAACATAAAGAATCAATTAGTCATTATCGTAACAATAATTTAAAAATGATGAAGTTAAAAACATTATATACGAATATAATTATACTTAGCAAAGTCGGTACTATCCAAATTTGCAATTTTTGGTACACCTAAACAACATATGTAGTTCTGCGCTTAAACTTTACACAAATATGTAACTATATACAAAATGTATATACCTCTATAGAAATCTGAAATGAAAATACGTCAATTAATACCATCCCGTTTACTTTTACATTTGGGACGATGGTTGTTTCCGCCGTTTGAACAAATCCATTATCCTTGTAGCTCTTCTTTCATTTTGCGCTGTCGGAGATGACCGATTAGATGCATCGTAGTCGGGTCTAACATCAGCACCGATACCTGCATTTGAAAATCAATTTTATTTATGTGACAAATATCTTAAAAGCAGAGAAACAATGCAAATGAGAGCATAAGATGTTAGTAAAGTCATGAAATAAGTTAGATAGAAATGAATGAAGAAAATTGTAGAGATCATTAGATGTTTAGTCCTTTAATTGAAGTAGCCTGTAGCCCAGAATTAATTAATAGAACTTGAAAATGTTCTTGAACACGTCTGAAGAACTAACCGTGAATGCCTCCGGTACTATCAATGGAGTTTTGTCGACGATTGCTTGCGTACATTGGTGGCTGAGTAACAGGTAATGGCGGCGGACTCTCTCCTAATATACATTTATTTGAAACGAACATTAGAAGCATGATTAGGACAACACAAACTAATACCAAATGCTAATGATAGCACCAACACGTTAATGATATTAATATTTAGGCTATAATAATGCAATGTTTAGATTACCTATGATTGAATGTCGATTCTGTACTTTGTTGCCATTTTGATAAGATGGATCTTGTCGGAGAACAACTGCGCTGTCGAGGACGTCCGGACTAGACGTGCGACTTGATTGTGAACTTATTTCAACGTCGTGGAAATCAGACGGCTACAAAAATGGATTAGATTCATAATAAAAAACACTTTTTAATGTGTTACCTTCTGAACATCAAGATGTAACAACTGTTGACTCGGTGGTAATCTAGCTCGGAATCCAACTTTTTGCACCCACGACGTCAGGTCCTGTTCATTTTGACAAGCAAACAAATACTCCGATTGGTCAGGAATGATCAGTCTGAATGCATATTTCCGTTTGCTGTAATCATCCGCAACACTGCATTGCGCATTGTGAATTCCTATGGGTGGATATAACGCCTTGGAAGATCTAAAGTCATCTCGATTTTTAAAGAAGCAAAGCAGCTGACCACAGAGGACCGTGTACAAATTCTTCCATGTCCTATTAGGTGCCTTCTTCCCGCCTGCTGCTAAAACTTGTTTTCTATCAATAAAGCCTTCAATTTCGGTCGGGGGAATTTCGTTCTCTGTAATTGCTTTTCCTCTGAACGAAGATCGTCTTCTTGTGGTAAAAGATGGCGTCCGTTTCGGTGGCCTACTCGGAATGGCCAGCTTCATGCTTTCGGCACGCTTTACGTTAACAGCAGCTTGCACGGCTTGCACTTTGTCGCCAAACATGGACGCTATAGAGTTAGACTTAGTCAGATTTACGACGGTACCAGGCTCAGGTCCGTTACCATTAACATCGTTACGTATATGTGTTTGCTCCTGTGGGCCTTCTTGCCGTCTCTGTTCGGTAATGCGTTGCATTTCTAACTTTTTACGTTGTGCCACACGTTCTTGTTCTTGGCGTTCACGTTCTGCAATTTTCGCCTGTGCTTCCATCTGCTTCTGCATTATAAACGCTTCTTCTAGAAGAGTCATGCGTTCAAGTGCAGCAAACTTCTCCTCTTGTGCACGAATGGTATTCTCAAAATCTTCATGTTTTTTAATAAAGTCTTCGACTTGAATGATAGAATCTCCAACTTTTTTATCATTCAAAGTATCTTGGCGTACATTTAGCCAGTTTTCTAACGTGTTTGCTTCGCGCTTGAACAATTGCACGTCCAAATTTTGTTCGTAGATCGTATTCCGGTATGTCCAAGTCTTTTTGAGCAAATCTAACCGATGCTCCAAAACTTTAATTTTATTGTCGATCTCCTGTGAAAAGAAATGTCCGTTTTTGATAAAATCATGGCCGGTGGCGAAGAAATCGTCAAAGATGGCGGAGCGTGCATCAATTTCCACTTTGTGCTCCTTGTGGCGCTCAATTAATAATTCTGCATTGGTATCGTCCTGTGGAAGATCCGGTGCTGTTATCCTCGCAAGCATTTCGTTAATCCACGCCCTAAGAACAAAATTACCATTACATTTGCCAAGATTCTGTGTCTAAACAAAAAAGAAAAGAAACTTACAGTAACTCTTGATGGCGATCGTAGTATGTTTGTAAATTCTCAGATTGTTTCAATTTCTGTTTTCTACTGTCACTCTTATCCTTTAATTCCTTCCAGGCCGCTAATGTCTCCTCCCGTTTGACTTGAATATGTTCCTCTGCATCTGGATAACTGGCGATTAACTGTTTTGCTTCATTGTCCACCTGTTCAACCTGTTCACTAACTGCTTGCAACTCGCTTTCAAACGCATCGTGTTTTCGAATAAACGCTTGAATACTCTCCAAATCAGTTCCGTACTGTTCAATATCCAAGATATTTTGTTTCTCTACTATCCACGCAACTGATTCATCAGCCGTCCTATCATACACGTGGACTTTCTTAGCTCCAGCTAACGCATCTTTGCGCGCCGCTGCAAGTTCCATAAGATCTTCCCATAGAGTCTTCAACTCTTCAACCTTAAGTTCAACATTGTCCATGTGCCTACTTTCCGACTCAATCAAATTCTGTCCCTTCTTGATACATGCCTGTACCCGCGGTTCACTGTTGGTCAAGGAAGTGTGGAAGGTTTCAAATGCTTGCGTTAAAAGTTCAACATGCTCCACATCTGTACCATAATCCTCAGAGGCTGCTTTAGCTTGTTGATCAATCATCCATTCGGTGACTTCACTACACTCTCTAGTAAATCCGAAGTAAGTTAATGCCTCCTGCAACTGCTCTTTACGTTCACTTAGTAAATTCAGCAAAACTTTAAACTTTTGAGAAACTTGATTCTGGGAACAAACAAATTATAGATTAATAAGTATATTATTCGCTGAAGAAGTTATTTTACCTGTTTCTTCTCAATATTCTCACTATCAAAATGATTACGATCAATAATACTTTGGGCATTGCTTGATAACTTATTAATCGTTGTTTCAAACGATTCAATTTCGCATGTGAGTGCTTCCAGTTTACGTTGCAAGGACTGGGTGGAATCTTCATCACGTCCTATCTCACCAGATTCAAGAAGTGGGCGTTTATCACCAATCCATGTTTCAATTTCGGCTGCTTCAGCATAATACTAAAAATGTTCCAGTTAGAATTCAAAATTTTACCGTAAAAATAAAATTTACCATTTGTGCTTCAAGTGCGTCTTGCAATCGCAGCCTTCTGATACTGGACATGTCCTTAAGATTACAAAACTTGGAATTGACTTGAGCTGCTTTGTCAGTGATAACATCAGCGGCTGAATGCCCGCTTCTGTTTAAATGCGCGGATCTTGAAACTAACGCAACTACAATCGGTTCGCGTGACATTAGTTCAGCTTCAAGCGCTTGGTGTTTCTTCTGTAGGCTTTGAACAGCAGTTAAACTGTTACCGAAATCTTTAGATACAGCTAAAGCTTCCCGATCAGCCAACCACTGCAGTTCATCGTCACAATCGCGTGTAAATTGCTGCAACATCATGGATGCCTCTAACATGTCTCGGCGAATCTGCATTGGTCCCTTTAGTTTGTGATAGATTGTAGTTAATTCGTGAGCTCGACTTTGCAGTTCATCCGCCATGAAATGTTTCTGTTTCACTAGCATCTCGGCAGTTTCGTTGATGTTATCACAGTTCTCACTGTGTTGTTGAATGTCATTTTCAAGACTAGTGTGTTTCTTCAATAGATTACTAACAGAAACCAAGTCCCTGCCGCAATCATTCGATTGCAATTGTGTTTGAATGTCAGTTAGCCATTCTTCAAACTCATCTAAGGACCTATTATAGAGTAACGCATGATAGGCGGCATTCAAACGGTCCTTTTTGAAATCAGAAATTTGTTGTAGATGTTTCCAATCGTATTCTAAGTCGTCTAAACGTTTACCAATTTCTTCAGATGCAAAATGATTAGCGTCCATCAACTTAGTTCCCTCCTTGATCACTTCGTCCACGCGATTAGAGTTCGCTTGAAACTCCGCTTCAAACGCGACGTGTTTCTGTATCTTACTCATTAAATTGCTAGAATCTCGGTAGTTTTCATCACTGGCAACCTGTAATTTCTGCACCAACCAACTTTCAACATCGTGGATATTCCGGATGAAAACATGCAACGCTTTCGATTCCTCCAGTTTCTTTTTCCGTTCATTGGCGGATTTTACCAAACTATTCTTTCGTTCAACAATGGCCGCCGTCCTTGACCGAATACCGGTGTTATCATAAGCATCATCTTCGATTTTCTTCGCCAATTCAGCAAGTTCATCAACTCTAATCAATTGTTGCGATAACATAGCTTCAAAGTCATGATGTTTACGAATAAGAAGCTCAACAGCACGTGCATTTTCACCGAGGTCCTCATTATTAAGGAAAGCTTCCTTTGATACCAACCAATTATCAATTTGATCGGCCTGTTCGTAGAACCCTTGCAAGTCGTACTCATGAGTCAAATCGGTCTTGTGTTGATTCCATAAAGTGTGTAAATCTGCGTGGAGATTTTCCAGCTTGTCAACTGCATCAGTAATTTGTGGGTCGGACTCTCCCAGTGATTTTCCAAAATTGATCATTTGGGCAAACTCTTCATTTCGACCATCCATTTCCACTTTAAGTTCTCTGTGGTTTTCTAATAGTGCTTCTGCTTCAGCGACTGATTTGGGTTTGTGTTGGGAATCCATACGTTTGGTAATATCCACGGTCCAAACTTCCAAAACGGATGTGTTTGCTAAGAATCTCTGCTTTGTGTATGCAGACTCCAATGCTTGCCTGTAAAAATTGAGAATTATAGATACAAGATCTAAAAATAGAAACGGTTTGACCTAAATTAGAAGTTGTTTACCTTCGCTTTTCTTTAGCTTGATCCAAATGCATCCATTGATTCTGTAGTGCATCCATACTGGCATAGATTGCTTCCGCACAATCCGGAAATTTCTGTGAAAATTTATACGAATCCTTATCGTGTTCATGAAGTTTCTTCGCGACAGCAGTCATCTCCATTTCGGCAGCCTCCTGTTTTCTTTGTAGAACTTCAACAGTGTGCAAATCCTTGCCGACATCATCCACTTCCATCGCGGCGATTTTCTCGTTGATTCTCTGTTGAGTATCAGCCACATCACGGTTAAAAGTGTGAACCTCAGCCGCACCGCTCAACTTCTTTCTGTAATCATCCAAAGATCCTTGCAGATTCTTCCACTTGTCCACAAAATTATCCCTTCGTTCTTGTACACCCCGATGTCCTTGATTGATCAATTTGTCAGCCAATTTATTGATGCTCTTAACTCGGGCGTCATCAACGCGCATATCAGAATCAACATCGTCCAATTTACGTTGTAATGCTTGACAATGTTCGTAATCACGACCTGTGTCAGCTGCTTGTACCATTACCTCCTTATCACGAATCCAGGACTCAATCTTATCCAATTGATTGTTAAACTCTAGAATATCCTGCGCTTCTTCTAATCCTCTACCGCGCATTCCCATCTCGTTGATTAACTTCTGCCATTCTAAGTCTAACTCAGCCAATTGGTGGCCAATATCCTGGGATGCTTTATGTTTCTTACTGATCAAAGTATTACCCTTCTGTTTGATTTCTTTCATTCTACCAACATTAGCAGCAATCTCCGCTTCAAATGCTTGATGTTTCTGCAACTTCTTAATCTTCTCCTCCAGGTTGTTGATAACTTCTCCAGATTTCGTGTCTGAATACAGTTTCTTTTCTTTTTCTGCGATCCATAACTTGGCATCCGCAACGTCACGAATAAAACCAGCATAGAGTAAAGTATGTTCTAAATTCAACCTCTTTTTAACACACAACTGTTTCACCTTCAGACGCTTATTCTGAATCTCAGCAAGCCGCGCAGCAATACTATCACTGTCGAAATGATTCTGGTTGATTAGTTTCTTGCCAGTTTTCATCAAAGTGTCATACTTTTCTTCCTGGCTGTTGAAAACTTTCTCAAACTCTTCGTGTTTCTTCATTTGTGTGGATACTTCTTCAACCGTCTCACCGAAATCGTTATTATTCAAAGCAGCTTCCTGCGTGTTGCATAGATTCTCCAATTGTTTTGCGTCTTTTAGAATATTGTGCAGATCAATCAACTGATACAGATATACATCCTTGGCGTTCCATGCCGAGTGCAACTTTTGATATTCTTCAAACAGAGCATTGCAGCGCTCAACAGCTTCAGCAGCATCATAATGATCAGTTTGATCCATGGCGGTAGCCATATCTCGAACAGCAATGAAAGCATCTTCACGTGCTTCAATTTCACCTTTAAGGGCATCATGTTCACCTCGCAAAGTTTGCGCCCTGGCAGCACTCCGGACATTTTCCTCCGCATTCATAGCCAAACGCACTTCAATGGCCCAATTGGTCAAATCACGAACCTCTGTGAGCAATTTCTGTAAATCCACACTAGCTTGCAAATGGTCCCTGCGACTTTCACTGGCATCCTTCAAATTCTGCCAGGCATTAACAATGGTATCCTGTTGTTGTTGAATCCTTTCTTTGTTATTGGGATACGTCGCTTTCAATTTCGCAGCGTCATCGATGAGTACCTGTAACCGTGCTTCCAAAGCAACCAGTTCATTCTCAAAAGCTTCCTGTTTGCGAAGCAGAGCCAGTGCCGTATTGAGATCTCGACCTAGCTCAATACCCAAAGAGGCTGTTTTCTCATGAATTCGCGATAATGCATCGCTGACATCATGATGGAAGCGATGTACTTCTCCAGCGGCGCGAAGTTTCTTATCACGATTCTCAATTTGTTGACGCAGAGATGTCCACCGAGTCCTACAACCACCAATCTCATGTTATCAAAAGAAATAAACAGAAAAACAAGCGTGCGACATCAACAAATCAATACAGAGGCAGTAAGCTATGGTTTACCGAATATCACTCCAATGTTCATTGACTTCATCACGAGCCGTTGAAGCGCCTTCAAGATTTCCTTCTCTGAAACAGTTAGTCCAACACCTACATGCACTAAACTACAACCACTAATAATTCTAAGATTGTTAAAATATCTACTACTAAACTAACAAGTATAAAATGATTAAAAGTACATACTCTAATTGAATCTGTTCCTTCTCGATGTCTGTAGTGTAAGGACTCTCGTTCGCAATCAATTTCTGAGCTAAATCTTCACATTGTCTGAATCGTTCCGATCCAGCTTCAATTCGATGTTTAAAATCATCAAATTTAGCCTGTAACAACAACAAATGTTCATAGTCTTGTCCATAATCCTCCGAAGCAGCTTGTTGGTATTGTTCGGCAATCCAATTCTTCAATTCCGCCGATTCTAAGAAATACTCATGTCTGAACATGGATTCCATAAGACGATGTTGTCGCAATGCTGCTTTCCGTTGCAAAGATCTTACTAGACGTTCCAGGGAAGATTGTCGTTCTGATATTATCTTTGAATCTGGATGTCCTGATTGAACTAATGTTTGGGCCCCACGTCCCATTTCACCAATGATATTACTGTAAGTGTCTAGCTCCAACTCCATAGCCTGAATAATAAAAATAATTTTATCATAAATTTTATTTAACTTAAAACTAAATTAGATCAGTTTACCTTGTGTTTAGTTAGTAGAGTAGTAGCAGCATTTCTGTCGCGTCCAAAATCATTACTTGAAAGAACAGTATTACGTTCATTTAACCAGGACTCCACTTCACTAGCTTCAAAGAAGTATTCTTGTGCTTTCAACGACAATTCTAAAGTTTGTGCTCGGGCTAAAGCAGAATCATTCAATTCCTTCCAAGCGTCCCTCAAAGAAGAACACAAATCATCAATCTTCACCTTTTCCGGATGTGATTGTTTAATCAAGTCTTCACCGATACCCAAAGTCTTATCAATGACCATTTGATGACCGGCAATCTCATCTTCTAACTTCTTGTGTTTCTTATGTAAAATCTGCGCTTGATGTAGATTTTGCCCAACGACAGTTGACGTAGCCAAAGGCATGTGATCCTTAACCCATTGCAATTCGTTATTAAGATCGAAATTAAACTTATGGAATCTCTGTGATTCTTCGATAGCATCCCGACGTTGTTTCATCGGCGCATCGATGGATTTCAAACGTTGTTGACATAGAATACCATTATCTGATTGAATCTCCTCGTCGCCATTGCTGCATTGATTCACCAAGTCATTTATACGTGCTGCGCACTGCAAACGTTCGTTTTCGATCATTTCGTGTTTCTTCAAAAGGTCCCGGCATGAACGCATATCGTTACCGACATGTGTACTCTTTAAATTCTTTTCTATATCATCAAGTTTTGCGTTGACATCGCTCACGTTCTGATTATAAATGTGTTGTGTTTCTGCTTCACGTAACTTCCTTCCTTTATCGAGAGACAAGCGAACTAAACTCTCCCATTCATCGTTAAGATCTTTCAAATTACGTGCAACTAAATCTTTCTTATAATTCCCTTCTGCAATCAACGCTTGACCCATTTTATTTACAGACCTTAGTTGTCCTTCATTAGCACGTAATTCTCGCTCAAAATCTTCATGTTTCTTTATTTTACGCGCTAAATTATTAAGGTCTTTGTAACTTTCATCAGTCGCTGTCTTTTGCTTATCAGCGAGCCACGCACGCAGGTCATGTACTTCCGCACAGAATAATTGATAATTTTTAGATGCCTCCAAAGCATTGTAACGATTCTGTGCTAATTCCTTCACCTTCTGTCTGCGGTCCAGTACTTGTTTACGTCTTGCATCAATACGTTGACTATCGTAATGATTGTCTTTGATCAATGTATCAGCCCTTTTGTCAAACGCAGTCAAACTAGGTTCTTGAGCAACTAAAGTATTCGTGAATGTACGATGTTGTTTGAGTAGTGCTTCAACTTCATCCAGAAACTCTCCAAGATTATAAAATTCAAGGAAGGCTTCATGACTTGATGATGCCGCATCAATCTTATCAGCTTCCTTATTGAATTTCTGTAGGTGTAGACATTGCTCCAGCCATTTCTCTTTTTCATTCCAACCTCGTTTCAACGCTGCTTGTTCCTCGACCAGGCGATTAATCTTTTCAGCCACGTCTGTCATATCCGGATTGGATTTTAGTAATTTCTTACCTAAATCTGTAACTTGTTTGAATTCATCATCATGCGCCTTGATATCCTGTCCCAAATCTTGATGATTTTTAATAAATTTATGCGCGGTTTGTACATCTCGCACTGTTGTCTCAGCATTGAGTTGATTCTTAACATCCGAAACCCAATTCAACAACGATTGTGTGCTGTTGGTAAAAATCTGTTGACCTACAGCATCTTCCAACCGCATGCGTCTCTGTAACGCTTTTTCTTTGACCTGTGCCCATAGGTCTCTAATGTCGTCCAGGATCTTGGCAACTTTGGCGCGTTCATGCGGATTGGAGGCGACCACCTGTTTAGCCAGCGAATCAATGTCGTTAACCGTCTTCGCAATTGGCGTAATTTCTCTTTCCAGTTGTTCGTGTCGACGCTGCAGTGCCTGCACGGTCTTGAGGTCGTGGCCGAGAACGTCGGAATCCAAATGACTTAATTTCTCGTGCATGCGCTCCTTCGCTTCGTCACAATTACTAAGAAATACTTCAACGATACTGGCGCCTTCGAGACTCTTCTCTTTCTGCGCACGAAGCCGATTGAGGCGGTCCCAGGCACTCACAATGTTACGATAGCGTGCGCGTACCTTATCAATCTGCGAGTGATTTTGTTTCTCGAACTCTTTCACTTCCGCATCGATACCCTCCAATCTCTTACTGCTAGCAGATAGATCAGTAATAAACTTCTTATGCTTTCTTTTCGCTTGATCCACACTCTGGGCTGGATCATCAGTGGTAAACATCTTCTCTTTATCTTTAATCCACTTATCAAAATCGTCACACTCTTTATAAAACCCATACAGCCTAATGGAATCCTCTAAAAGTGCATGTCTCTTCAGAGCCAACTCCTGGCACTCATTGTACGTATCATTAATTTGTTTCTGTCGCTTGGGAACAGTGTTACTTTCGTCTACAGTACGTTTACTTTGTTTGGGGGGACGTATAACCTTAACAGGGACTTGCTGCGGTACCATTTTGATCTTTTTCACTTTCTGCATCACTTTGATCTTCTCCTGTTTGTTGACTTTCAACTTCATCAATCGTGGTTCAATCATCCTGACGTAATTCGCTGGAGCAAAACCTTCAGTTCCGTCTGCCTTACGTACACACCACCAATCCGCGTTGTTCTTACTAGTTAAAAACATCACCTCACCTTTGACCATGGAAATACCATGTTCACTATACGGAAACAAAGCTTGTACCTGTGGAATCTTCCTTTCAGTAAGCACCAGACGATTTTCCAGCTTCTCAACTGGTTCCTCTTCGTATACTTCAACCGGGACCAATCTGGTTTCATAAATTGTCTCTTCCACAGGTTGATCAACAGCAGTTTCAGGAGTGAGGTCCAAATTGGAGATACCGGAAGCAATCAAGCGCTCAGCTTGATTGTTCAAACTTTGGATATCACCTTTATACGCGTTTAATTCACTGTGTAAATCACGATGACGTTGGAGAAGAGCCTGAGCACTGGGTTCATCAGACCCATAATCTTTCGATAACAAAATTGCTTTCTTTTCGTTTAGGAATGAATCCACCTCATTAGCATCCGCATAGAATTGATAAGCTTCAGCAGCGTCTTGTAAACGTGTTGTTCTGTCATTCGCAAACTTCTGTAAATTCTCCCACTCTTTATTGTTGGTATCAATATGTTCCTGAATCTGCGTGGAATGTTGATGCTTTTCATTGATCAATTGCTTCGCCGTGTTCTGCAGCTGGTCGAATTTATTCTTACGCATTTTGATTTCGTCCAGTAATAATTTGTGCTTCTGTTGCAAGCGCAACACTCCTTGAAGATCCTTTGCCGCAATGGCAGCTAGACAAATTCGTTGTTTCTCAATCAACCACGCCTCTTCATCCTGTTGATCTTGTAGAAATTGGTAAAAATTCCGTGCTTCTTCTAATAAAGCACGTCGTTCTGCGCATGCGTCCTGTACCCCTTTGTAAACCGCTGATAATTCATTGAGTTTCTGGCGTAAAACTTCCGCTTGCATTGGACTTTGCACAACAGCTTGTTCTCCCAATCGGATCAATTTTCTTTCAGTGTCAGAAAGCGCAGTCACTTGTAACTCTTGCAACGCGTGCTTCTGTAATAATTCCTCCACGTCCAACAAATGCATTCCGGTACTCACAGAAGAAACATCACTTTTTAACTGATTAAGGGTTGAGAGTGTGGTGTCAATCTCTCGAAGGACAGACATAGCGCTACACATTCTGTTTAGATTAGTTTTATGCTTCTCAACTAACTCCAACAACGTGTGCCATTTATTGAGGACATCGTCATGTGTTTTCTTCACGTTTGCTGACTCCCGATAATTCTCACGTTGTAATTCTTCACATTTCAAGGTCAACTCTTGAATGCGTTCTTTCCGGGGTAGAATATCAGCACTGATTGCTTCGTGCTTCTTAACTGTAGCTTCCACTTTTGTTAGATTAGCTCCATAAACAGGATCTGATAAAACTTGGATCATTTCTGTTAGATAGACCGACCTAAGATAACTTTTCCTCTCAAATTGAAGATATAAGTGTTCCAGACGTTGTAACCTCATTAATTCACTCCTCAATGCAAGTTCACGATGATGTTCAGCTTTCTGAAGTTGATTCCACGCTCGTTCTATGTCCTGTAAGAGTTTACCATCCGAAGGAACAAATGCAGGTTGTCTAATGTCTTCTTTAAGCTGGGAATTGATATGGAAATATAATGCTTCAATTTCGCTGCGTTCTTTATACTTGGGCGGTTTTTCTACAGTTCGGTAGTGTCCGAACTGTACCAGGAGATGTTGAATGCCTTCCAGGGAATTCGGAAATTGTCGATCTTCAAGTAAAATCACAGTTTTGTGTATCCACTCAAGCAGGTCGGTCGTAATCTTATCATAACGCAGTTTCATCTTATCTGCGTCCATCATACGCTTGAAGATTTTCTCAATTCGCCGACCGCTCTTCGCCTCGTTCTTCATGCGAGCGAATGTATGGTAATACGATGCCACATAGGTGATGATACTTTTTTCATCTGGTCGACTCGTATCGATATCCTCAGCATCCAGCAGTCGTGGAATGCCGAGCTCGTTGTTGGCCACGTCGAACGCATGATTCAGATTGTCTATGTGCGAGTTTGGTGCCAGTTCTTTATAGTCAAAGAGTTCCGGCCGATGGGCATGGATGAGCGCATTGAAACCCAAACCACTTCGCCACGAACCAGAAAAGTCGTTGATGTTGACGCCGGAATACCCGTGCGTCTTTCGTTGCACCCACAGCAGTAACGCATCTTTGGCAGATTTCTTCTCGGAGCTTTCGCTCTCCTCATCCACGTCGATTTCGATCTCTTGGATTTGAAACCGCAGAATAATCGTCCATATTAAACCCAACACCAGAGTGGGAATACCATCAACGATATCCTCGGCTCCTATACTCTCCAGTCGCACTTTGGTATGCAGAAACGCTAAGCTTTTGTTCACATTCTCGATTTTATGTACGCGCATGCGTCCCTGATTTGGTTTGGCCAACTTCTCGCCGGAGATTATCTCGAGAAGTTTCAGCAATTTTTTACCGTCGGCGAGATCCTCGAAGAGGTCCACCACCTCCATGCGAGCCTGTGATTTTTTTCAATAATAAACATAAAACCTATTCATACATATTCAAAGACTTCACCAACCTTTTGCAGAAATGAATTGATCCATTTCGTGAATGTTTTCTTTTGTATATGCAAGCGTTCCTCTTGCAGGACTTTAATTCGTCCCGCTTCGAACTTTTGCACGTCGTCCCGCTGCGTCATGATGTCCCAAAACCGTCTGTCCACTCCTTGCTCATACTGCACTTTACCACCAACTGGAAATGAGAACGAAACAACTATTGTAAGGTTTCGCCAACTACGACTTCCCACAACCCTTAATACGATTACTTTAATAGCTATATTGCAACATATTGTGAACAAACATGTCTGACCTAAAATGGCAGTGGATATCAAGTAACTGCTTCTAGTTATTACGCCGAGAATAATGATTTACAATAGTTTGTAAGCAAAGAAATTATACAAGACCTTAAAAACGTTGTTCTGGGAAACTTCCAGAGCAAAAATTAATTAAACGTAGACACATCAATATAGAATAGTCAGTACTGTAATTCATGATCAGCAAAATCACCTAAGTACCTTACTTGATATTATCTCTAATGAATTTATCCGTAACATCATAGATAACAAATATTCATAAAAATGAGCAACACACAGACAGATATTACATATTTTTATTAATATATTTCCGTAACAAAAGCAATTTTGCGTGCAATTTATTGCGAAACATGAAACATTCCTTTTTATGTTTATTGTTCGTGTAGGAATGTACAAGTAAGTACGATTACCATACGAGCAAAGTAAAATAGAAATAAAGTGAAGTTCATATTTGCACATTCAATATTTGTTGCAATTGAAGCACTTGTATTGCTTATATCAGTTATTTCATGCGTTAAGTAAGCAATTTGCGGTGTCGTACGGCTTTTCAAATAGTTTTTCATCTACATAATCTATGCAACTGATAATATCTACACTTTATCTAATGGAATGTAAACACACGATATTTGCGATAAGAATCTTTATATTAACAATAAAAATCTGCACGTTTGGGTACTTATAGTGCAAAAGATTAATTTTATAAAATTTTTAATAAAATTTAAACTTTTAAATGAAAAAAGATGATTTATTAATAATAATTGCTAGTGATGTCATAATGATTGTATTCATTCAAAAGTGATGTCATTTTTTCTTTTGTTATGGTAATAGCTTGAAGTTTTTTCGAGTTATTTGCATCCTACAGCAACTCCATAAAAAAATCATAACATTTTTATTATTTCTAAACATTCACACGTCAACATTCAAAATAATATTTAGACTTGAACCTAAGTGCAGCAATCCAATTAAAAAAATCGCAAGAATCGTAAAAATATAATAATCTCAGATTATTCCGGATTATATTGCAAATACAAAAGCAAATAAATAATTTAATTCCTGATAGGAATATAAATCCACTTTAAATCATCGGAAATAGCGATTTTCCAGAAATAAGATTAAAGATTAAAGATAAAAATCTATGATTCTTCATAAAGATTCCGCAATATTCTAAATTAGGAATAGGATTAGCACCACCTCAAAGCGCAATTTGACCTTTCATTTCCTCTGCGAAAAAATCTACACTTCAATGGAATTTACAACATTTATGTAACATTTATAACACATAAAATAGTTTCGCTTACATCATCACTATAACTTGTAATAAATAGTTTTGTGCAAACAACGAATTAGGTTTAATCACCGATTAAATTGCAATACAATCTAAAATAAACACGATACGATTTTTTAAATCAAAATTAAAATCACCGTTGATTCAGACACCGCGTTTATTTTTATGAATCAGATGATGATTAATTGATTAAAGTTAAATTTTAAACAAAAATTACTTCCAATTGCACACAACAACTGTCTGTGTCTGTGTTTTTATGTTATTAAATTTTTCATATAAACACAACACTTAAATGACTAAAAACAAAACAATTTAAGTAATTTACTTTTTAAAATCTTTCTACCAGTATGTATATATTTATTATTGACATATTTTCAATTCAAGACACATGCGGAATGCATAATTAAACGAAACACAATCATTAACCATCCCACAGAAATAAACTCTAGAATGCACGCACGCCGCTGACTTCTGGTTGAACTTAATGAATGCAAATGTCATTAGCTTGCAAGGTAATCAAGTTGTTCACAGAGTTATCAACTTATTACAAACTTATTACAAGTGAATTGTAATTGCACAAAATGGCTAATATCTATTTATATTTATATTTATCTCTGAGATATTAAGTATTTAATATATCACATTGCGTGACAAAAGTAATAGAAGTATTTCAAGTGATTTAAGTGTTTTAAATCAGTTAATTAGTATTAATTACTGTACCAGAACTGGAACAAGTTGTTATTCTACAGAAAATTGTATTTTAAATGCTTACATTCATTGTTTTCAACCCCATGTTCATTCAAACCCATTTTTTATTCACTTTTTTAATTTATTTTGCAAAAAACACTTTTTTTTATTTCATCAACACTTATTTATTGTCATTATAGTTAATATTGCACTGAACACTATGCAGGTCTACACTGGACTAAATTCTGTTCTTGACTTTAACTTTGGCGTCTTTCAGCAATCAAAACTCACTGCTCTGCTCCGCTACTGGCAGAAATGTCGTGTAACTGATACTTCAGTCAGAGTTCACTTTTCAGTTGGGATTCAGTTTTGTTTCACTCTCTCTGCTCCCTATACGCCTGTTTCGCACGTCGCCCTTCCCGTTCTCACTCCACGACATTCGACATTCATCGCCCAGATTGTTTTTACTACCTATTTCGGTTCACGATGGTTGGAAATAACTTGCAAGCAGTCAGTGAGTGAGCAAGAAATGCACGCATTGCACATGCACACCCCTCATGGTTTAGTTTTCGTAAACTTCACAAGTTGGAAGCTTTGCCACGCATAAACAGGGTTTCCGTTTTGGTTTTATTTCTTGTGACGCCTGTGATTGCATCTGGTTTCCGAACAGGGCATATGGCATGAAAAGACAAACAGGGGTTAAAGTAGGTAGTAGGTAGTTATTACTCTCGGCAATGTATAAATTCACGACGCATATTTTGACGAGTTTTACAACTGCGAGTTTCTAAATAATAAGTTTAAGATTTTACACGAAAAATGTTCATCTTTTGACCTCGCGAGATGAAATCAAGGTCACAATACGAACTGGGAATTTAAAGTTAATGAATTTCGAAATGTTAATGTTCGAAATTGTTGACATTTTATAACAAGGCATTTATTATATCGATATTATAAAGATACTCCGTTAATCAATTAAATTCACACACATCTACACGGACAACTTAAAAAATAATCATCATTCCAAAAACGAAGTTTTCATGTTTTGATCACCATAAATTTACAGGAATATGTTGATTCTCATTTCTCAGCTTTAATTAATTCCGTATTTATGGCTCAATTTTAATATTATACACGTTTTTATTAATTTTTAATCGTCAACTTTAGTTGAATGTATTTTCGGAAATAGCTGTCAAATAAAAACGTACATAATGTTGCCTATAGTAACAACAGACATAACCTATTCTCAAAAATTAGTTTTTCGTAGATTTTTGTTTATATTTTGACGTTTTTCGATGTTTTAAAAAGAATTCTGCAATTGTGGTTGAAGACCAAACTCAAAAATCAGAAAAACTTGACGTAAAACACCGAATTAATACTTATTTACATGAAATTTCAATCATAAACTTTAATTCAATGAAATGTTGGTTGCCTATAGTACCTAACAACATAACCTTTCCAACTTATGAGTTTTTCTTTCTTCATTCTTCATTTTTATGTAATTTTTCGATGTTTTACAATAAATTTTGATATTCTAGGCAATAACAAATTCCAATAATCAAAAATCTATAAAATATTAACGTGTTTTCATCAATTTTCAATCATAAACTTCAGTTGAACGTCACATGATGGCTTAAAACACCTTAAAACCCAACAAATATGGAAGATATGAAAGCTGCGTAGGTTAAAGTTACAATCCACCCACAGAAACACCAAGGAACGTTAACATCTTCCATTAAGATCAAACAACAAAATGTTTAGGTGTAAATGGTACCCAAATGATGTTTAGATGTAAACACTAATTCTTTTCAATTGACAACATTTAAATTCCGTCGAAATTACCATTTCGGAGCAGTCGAAGACGTTCATGGTCAAAGTGTCACGAAATTCACGCGCGAAACAAACAATATTAAAGCGTAGCATGACCAGAAACAATGAACCTGAACCGCGACTAACAATAACCAATTGTTCTAGAAACCAGTTGCTTTCATCTATTAGCTATGCTTCACGTACCTGCAATTTATTTATTTAATAATACGAAGAATTAATAAAGATAAACACAATTCACGGTGGATCTAATGATACTGGAACAAATTCTGCTCTCAATTGAAACAAAAGGAATAATAAATACACAGTTAATTATGGTTTTAAGCAAAAGCTAAGCAAAGACAATGTATTATTATACTATTTGCGTGTTTGCCCTTTTTAGTAAAAGCATCACGTGATGATTTACTGGTAGAGGTACATGGCGCGTTGTGGAATTTCTTCGGCACAGTTGAGTTGTAAATAGTTAAATAGTTAACACGTTTTGTGGCGGCGGCGTGCAATTTACCGTTTTCAATCAAAGAAAATGAGTTGATACGCATACCAGCAACACGTCACCATTGTTTCAATCAAGTGGCGAGCTCTAACGGTCACAGGAATCAATCACGAAGAAAAAAATTGGAATTATTACACGTAGATGGCGCTGGTTTACAAATCAAAACGTAAAAGTATTAAAATAGGTCGATTTTGTGGTAAATTTCAAGTAAATGTTAAATAAATAATGCACAGATAGTAAATTATGAATAAATTTCTATAAATATAAGTGAAAAATGCTAAAATTTTCACGTTTTGAGTCATATATGTGCATGTGGCTCGCTCTATCGGCCATAGGTTCAATCAGAGGTGAAAGGTGTCACTGAGTAGCAAATATTTCAAGCAGATGGCGTTAGTTTACAAACCACAACCTCAAAATGTTATAAATATGCAATTTTATGACGATTTCTAAATTAATGTTAAATAAACAATGCACAGATAGCAAATTATGAATCAAAACGTTCAAATACAAATAAAAAACACTCATTTTGATAATTTTTTCAATTTAAAACTAATATCATGTAAATAAAACACGCTACAGCTAATAATACA